AGGGAACGGATGGGAGGACAACAACAATCTTGTATTTCTCGCCCCCACGTGCAGCACGAAGAATACGTTCAACAATCGCAGCTCCAATCTTGTTCTGAACGGGCTTCTGGGCATCACCAGTTGCAGTAATGAAGAACTGGTTTTCGATGTAAACGAAGTGCTGACTGTTACGGATGATAGCTGCGTATGCGTCGGCGATGGAATGCTCGGTGGGCGTTCCGTTGCTCCACTTGGAAGCACTGCGTACGATCTGACAAACCATGTTGCCGCGCGGCTGAGCACCCTGGCGATAATTCATACGATCCTGGTAATGATGGATTTGGCCAGCCAGTTCACCACGAAGAACATTGCTATAATCTGTGATGTTCTCCTTGATACCACGGAAGTTGAAGCCTCTCTCGGAGTCGCCGTATGCATGACCCCCGCTGTGGTAGTCGTGGAGACCACGGGTTTGCGAGTGCTGACCCTCTTGAGTAGGGGGAGGCGGGTAAGCCTGACTTTGGCCTTGGCTCGGAGAGTATGACTGGTATTGAGATTGAGGCTGGCCCTGTTGGTGAGGGTACGCTTGACTCTGGGGCTGGGTGGGAGTCTGCTGAGTGTATGCTTGTCCCTGAGATTGTGTGTAGGTCTGCTGACTCTGAGGCTGAGTGGTAGTCTGCTGTTGAGAGTACGCTTGACCTTGAGGTTGCGTATAGGTCTGCTGGTGAGAGTATGTTTGATCCTGAGACTGGCCATAGCTACTCTGCTGGGCTGATGTAGTACCCTGGCTTGAAGGAGGCCCAGGTGGAGGCGGAGGGAACGAATCACCAGTGTAGGTATAGTGGTGCTTCTCATCGTGACTTGGTATGTATGCCTGGTTTGGTGTGTATGCGGGCGGAGCCTGTTGCTGCCAGCTGGAATCTGCCTGAGAGCTGGGGTGGGGAGAGGTAGCCTGATATCCACTTTGATGAGACTCGGGCTGTTGCTGCCAGCTTTGAGTATGCTGGATATTGCCAGAATAAGCAGCAGGCTGAGGAGATGTGGGCTGCTGCTGCTGCCAACTAGGGGTACTTTGAGTGGTAGGCTGAGCGCTACCACCATAGGAAGCAGTCTGCGGAGGGCTTTGCTGCTGATGAGCTTGTTGCTGCCAGCTAGGGGTCGCCTGGTTGCCGGCGCTCGATGGTTGAGCATTGCTAGATTGTGCCGCAGGGTGAGGAGATGCGGCCTGTTGTTGCCAGCTGGGAGTGGAAGGGTTTGGGCTGGCCGGAAGAGCGCCGGGCTGGGCTGTGAATGTCTGCTGCCAGCTGGGAGTGGAAGGTCCCTGGTTTGGCGCTGCAGGCTGCTGAGTTGGCCGCTGTTGTTGGCCCTGCTGCTGACCCTGCTGCTGACCCTGCTGCTGACCTTGTTGGGGGCCCATAGAAGAGGTAGGGCGGCCGTACAAGTTCAGTTTCGTGTATCTAGCATTGTTGCGCGAGTAGTACTTGAGGTCATAGATGAAGTTCCATCGCTCGACAAAGTGCCGTCTCAGATCTTCGACCACCTGTCCGTGCAAGCTGACTGAGATGTCTGACCATCCCATGCGGGATGTCTTCTTCCGATCCAGCTGGTTCTTCTCCCAGTTGGCTACATCCTGGAAATCAAGCACTCTAGCGTTGTTGTAGTCCTGACCAGGGAAAACGATTTCGTTCAGGTCCTGGCCATGAACATCGGCGAGCGCGTGCTGATTAGTGTCCCAACGGCCGAAGCACATATCCAAGCCACCCATGAATGCCACGCGACCATCAATAAGGCAAAGCTTCTCGTGGTGGGCCCAGTAAAGGATGACATCTTCGTGCATACCATATATTCCCTTGATGGTATCAGCGGACATCTTGGCCAGATTACCTGCATCTAACGACAGGTTCTGAAGGGAAGATGCGATAGACGCTTCCAGCTCCTGACGATCAGGAAGATGGTCAGGGTGACGGAACACAGCGATGTTCTGATGGAGATCCTCCAGGTGGTGCTTTGTGTGATGGGAGGAAACTGTGCTTTAGATTAGCTATACCGCAGTAGCGTACGGTACCCTTTGTGAACATACGTGTCAATGCCTGAGTCACCTCCTTATAAACAATGATGTTGACGCGAACGCCTCGCTGCGCAGCAGCCAACAGCATTCGATCCAGTCGATACTGCTCGTTCTTCGCCGGAGGACGTCTCAGGTAAAGTTCTGGCGACAACCACCCTGGTTTTCACGTCAGTTAGATTGTCCATCACCTCACGACTGACACTTCCAAAAGCTTACAGTCCAAAATCCAGATATACTCCTTCGCACTCTCCAAGGCCTTGGAGACAGCATAGAAGTATGCACATCCATCAACATGCCACTTGACTTCGTTGCCCTGACGTTCTGGTGCAAAACTGCCAAAGCGGTTCTGTGTCTGTGGCTTGGTCGATCCATACTGCTCATAAGCCTGGGGGTCCAAGGCAGTTCCGATCTTCTGTGCGAACTCATTTCCGAGGTTCTCCAGTTTTCCGAACAATCCGGAGAGCTTGTCCTGCTTCTGGGGTTTCTGGGTTTGCTGATGATAGGTGGACTGCTGGTGCTGGTACTGTTGCGGGCTGGTGTTTCCGTACGACGGCGGGTATTGCTGGGCGGAACCTTGGGTCTGAGACTGGGTTTGGTGGTACTGGCTCTGGCTCTGGGGGTAGATAACTCCGTGGTCAGTAAGGTAAGTTGAAGATGTTACCGTGCCTGAGATTCCTGATTTACCTGCTGCGTGTTGCTGGTACTGCCCTGCTGCTGCTGGTGGCTCTTGTAGGTTTCCTTCAACTTCTGGAAAGTGTCGCCGACAAATCCCCTCGCGGTATCGCCGGATGTGCCCCGCGCTGAGTCGCCGTAGTAGTGGCCGTAGGCCAGGTCTTCCTCACGGTGGGACATGGGGACGACTGTTGAACCTGGATATGAGAAGAGGGTAGATGGTGTAGCAATAGACAAACCCAAAAAAAAAAAAAGAGAAAGGATGCTGACCGCCACGAGAGGGAACGGATAGTTGTTATTATTATGTAGTCTCACGGAGGGTGGGGGAGGGGATCATCTGAGGCAGGAGGAATACGGTTTAGGGGGATACGGGGCTAAACCACGACGGTAAGACCGGCCCCGCCAGTCCAGCTTATCCACTTTCTAGGCTTCCGTCTGGGTTGTTGGTTTGTTTGTGTATCCTTCTGCTCGGCCACTGTCGGGTGGTGGTAGTTACTGGTGCAAATGTTCTCTGCTAGCCATGGCGGCTATTTGTCAACACTATCTAACTTGTACTTCTTTCTGCTGCTATCCTATCTTAACCACCGACATCGAGTGTTGCCTTGCAGGGCGGGGGCGATGCACCATCGCCTTTCTAGATCGCTGCAGTGTGGCTGTGCCGGCAATCATGGCGGGGAATCCCCAGTTAGCTTGAAACAACACCCGTACGGACCTTTACCTGACAGCCTCTGATGACGCATGATACGGTGATTCCAGCCCCTCTGTTGACTGTGGCTTATGTGGCTCTGCCACACCGCATCGTTCATCCCGAGCATTGCATCGCGCAAGCCCATTCAACATTTACGCTGAGAGCGCTAAGAGTGTTGAGCTAGAACGCTCAAGTCCTGGGCGATCTTGGCACACGGGAATAACGCGGGCTTGTTGTCGCCAATCCTGAGACATGATCCACTTACATGGGTATAACGACAACAACATATGTGGTCATATACTCCATAAAACGAGAATGTAGAAATGTCTCAGCCCGATCGAACGCAGCTGCTCACAAATCTTAGTAGTGCTTCGCAAGACGATTCGATGCTGTGAAATCCGCGACTATCCGACCATCCGCAAGTTGGACAACAACCAGCTTTCCGCGGTCGGATCCACTTCTTTGTTAGTGCAAACCTCCTTCGACCCTCATGTTCTGGAATGCACCGCCAAATGTTTCTCGAACTTCGCAAAGCTTTCACGATGAGGACCCTTCGAGGGCGGTAAGCTGGACAGATTGTTCGTCAATTCAAGCAGGGAAAGAGTCCTGCGTGGAATGACACCGCATTCAGTGTCTTGGCGAGCATTCGCTGAGCATTGGGGACTCATTTGCTGTCAGGCCCGTGTGCCAATGCTGCTATTTTAGCCAGGACTAGCAGCACTAATTACTACTGGGATAAGCGGAAGAAATCGTGTCTGCTTTCTGGGGGATGTATTGAGCAGGAAAAGTCATTCATTGTGCAACGAGGAAATATGTTCCAGAATAATGACCCAACCTGATTCTCGCAGCTTTTCTCAGTATACCCAGCATTTTATCCCCAGTATAAGGGGCTTGGAACAAGAAAGAGTCTTGTTCCCTTGATCATAGCTCACTATAAAGGAGTTCCCGGCCATATTCGGGGCTTGTGGCATTACTAGAAGTACACTTGTCGTGGTCTTTTTGCGGAAGATTGTGCAGAATATATTCAATTTCATCATCGTTCATCGGGATCCGGATTCATAGCAATGGTATAGTTAGGAAGGCCAGATATTAGTGACTTGGAACACAAAGTGATCAGATTTTTCGAGTTCTGACAGAGCGAGATCATCCAAAGGGTAACTTGTTGAGGATGGCATCATTGTTTTGATTGCCCCTCGGTATCGTCGGATGGAGAGCAACCCCGCACCGAGGTGGAACAGTAAAAGCTGTCGAATTTCTTTAGGTATACTTTAGGTATACTTCAAATCAGACGCCTCTGACAGGGAGAACCGAAGACTGCGGTCTCGAGAATGGCTAGCTGCGAGAGAAAGGCCAGATATAATTCCCGCGTAGATAAGATCTTCGCTGTCATGTTGTGTCTAAACCTAAAGTTCGTCCTTGGATGGCAGCAAGCGCTGCCCCTCACTGACAGGCCCCCGCAGCAGACGGACCCCGCACCGCAGTTGGAGAAACCAGAGCAGCAACGATTATTTAAGAATGACATCGGCCCATATCTTGACCACTTATTGTCTAATCTGCGCTGCTACCATTGACCCTCTGAGACCTATCCCCAAAGAACCTCATCTATTCGATTGTAACATCAAACCAACATCACAATGTCTCTTGCAACCCTCGACGTAAGTTGCCCCGGACAAAACCCACGACGTGACGTTGTACCAGGAAAGTCATTTCCGCACGTACTAATCAACAGCGCATCACCAGGTTTCCCAACACCCCTACCTCCCCTCCGCCTCCGAGACACTCTTCAAGGCCAAGGCATCGAAGAAGCTGAGCTTCGAGCAAATCGCCGAGCACATCGGTCGCAACGAGGTTGCCGCGGCCGCCCTGTTCTACGGCCAGGCCAAGGCATCTCCCGAAGACATCGACAAGCTGTCCTCCCTCCTCGACATTCCACGCGACCTTCTGGAAGAGCAGCTCGGTGGCTTCCCGGATCGCGGCCGCTCGGTCGAGATGCCGCCCAAGGAGCCGCTGATCTACCGACTGTATGAGATCGTGCAGAACTACGGGTACGCGTACAAGGCTGTTCTCAATGAGAAGTTCGGGGATGGCATCATGAGTGCCATCTCGTTCTCGACCAAGGTGGAGAAGGAGACGGATGAGGCTGGAAATAACTGGGCTGTTATCACTCTGAGAGGAAAATGGTTTGTCAACAGGATTGTCCAATTCTTGCATGAGACTTGCTAACTGAAACTACGACAGGTTGCCTTTCTCGCGGTTCTAGGTATGATTATGTGAGTCTAGGGAGGCTTTAGTAATTGAAATGCATATAAATAATATTTGAAAGAAGTATGATATTTCTTCTGTTCCTGCGCATGAATTTCATTCCCATGTGTTGTGGTAATGCGCAAAGTAAAGGATTCACAGCTGATGTCGAATGACACCTACCTTCACCCACCAGATTGAGTGGGTGTCATAGTGAAGTGAGAATGGTCTCTATAACACGCAATCCTCGCGCATCCACTCCATTGACTGACTCACCTTCCACCTCCCTCAACCTTCTTTCCAGATCCCTTTGGCCTCCTCGTTCCTTTCATCTGTCATATTTCTTCCCACTCCTATCTTTCTAAACAGGGACGTCGAAGATCTCGCTTCCAGGGTCGACCTATTTCTCTGAGCTCATTGTGGCCCCCCTTCCTATCTTCCTCCCTTTTCGAACTAATTGAACTATTTAATTCATCCAGAATGTCCGCTCGTCTAGGCCACCAGGCAGGTCCTTCCAAGGTGACCAGCGCCAACACAAGCCGTTACGGTGTCGCTCGCTCGGGACCAGGCCCCGTCAATGCAGGTCGTGATACTACAGAACCTTCTCGCACAGGAGCCCCTGATGATGGCCGTCGCATCAGAGGTGGCCCTCGCGCTGGTCCTTCTCCCGTAGTGAAGCCTGGTGGAGAGCCCAGTAAGTCAAGTTCTTTGCATATAAACTAACCAGGGGCTGAATCATCTCTCGCAGGTCCCTCGGTTGCAGCGAAACCCGGCGAAAGGTCGAATGTTACCAAGCCCTTGAATCCTCGTCGCTTTGTCCCAGAACCTTCTCGTGTACAGCCTCCTGCTGCAGGACCAACCACCGCAATAGGTCGCCCAGCTGCAGGCCCTACCGCCAGAGGCCGTGATCCCACCAGTCGTCCTGTCGGCGAACCTGCATCCACACAACCTCCTACCACACAACCTTCTGCCAAAGTCGGGACCCCGGCGACGCCCTCGAGTACAAAACTTCCCGAACCCACCAGTGTCTCCTGCACGTACGCCAAGTGCGGCAAGCACTTCCCCAGCAAAAGAGACATGGACATTCACAAGATCACCGAGCACGAGTACTGCGAGCGCTGCGACGAAGATTTCCCGGATGAAGAACGCTTACTTCTCCACAAAATCACCAGCGTCAAGCACATCGTGTGCCCCGTCTGCGGCCTGGAATTCCGCAGCTCGGGTGGCCGGGACGTTCACATTCGTCAGGTACGTGACCAGAAACACTTTCTTTTTGGCTGCTAAAACAGAGCGAGAACGAACCAGCTTATGAACTGACACAATACTTGATTGGCAACAGAACCATCGAGCAGAGCAGACCATCGACTGTCGCGGCTGCACCATGGGTTTCAAGTCCGCCAGCGCCCTGATGCAGCACATCGAGAGCAACGGATGTCGCAGAATCCCGAGGGCTCGCCTGCTCCAGCAGCAGGAAACCCGTCTGATGATCGCCGAGATCCTGGACGGTGACCGGCCCATCCGGCCCGAGGATTTCGACAACGACGACGGTGGTGTCATGCTAGATGGAACTCCGCTGAAATCTCCCGTCAGCCCCAGAAGAAGTCCAAAAAACAAAACCCCCGACGCGAAATCACCCACCAGCACCAATCCCAGCCCCAGTGCAGGAAAGTCGGTGATGAACTCTCCCTACCTGCTGCATCAGCAGCAGCAACAGGGCATCCCCCCCATCCCCCTCCAACATGACCGAGAAGAGCATGGCGACCGCGATGTCGCGACTCTCGCTGAACGACGCGGAACCCGACGCCAGCGACAGTGCGCTCGTCCCGCTCCCCACAGCCACCGAGCTCGAGCACGATCAGACAATGGAGTTGAGCCTCTTCGGCAAGCCGGTCGCCTCGGCCGGGGAGATCCTCCGCGAGATCACCCCGGGCTGGGACTCGAGCAAGTTCCTGAACATGTGTCGGACGCGCTACGTCTGCCACTGCCGCGTGAGCTACAAGCGGGTGGAGGATTTCGAGGCGCATATCATCGAGGAGATGCGCGATAGGAAACCACTCGGGTGCGACCTTATCTTTCTCCATGCCCTTTCATTGAATCGTACAAAGACTAACCACTTCCGTACAAACAGATGCCCCAGATGCTTCCGCAACTTCAAACGCTCGTCGGACCTGGTCGCGCACATGGAAACCGGGAGCAATCGCTGCAGCGTGGCCTCTGGGTCCGCCTACCACCAGGTTCTAGATCAGTTGACCGGCGGGGTGGTCCGCGTCGCCGGCACGCTCCAGGATGGCACTATCAAGTATGAAGCCGGCAACGTGGAACCGCTGTACGAGCCGGACAACGAGACCACTCTTGCTGGTATCGATACGAGCTACACGTTTAGAGGCCCCGTCTGGTGATCATAACGGGTGGGTTAAATCCTTATCTGTGGTTATTTATTATTGACTCTCAGGACGTTGGCACTCGGAGGGAGAGTTGCGTCTTGAATCGACACTTTGCGCTAGTGTTTCTCATTTGTGATCTTCACTTGGTCTTGAATTTCCTTTTCCACCCTCATGCACTTACAGAATAGTACTACGTGTTTCATTTTCAGTTTGTCTTTCATCTGATGATTCTAAGATTGGTTCATTCTTTCCTTCGTCTTTCGATATTCCATTATCGCAGCGAAAAAAACATCTCGTTACTCTATGTTGTCTCCGCATATCTACAGCCCAGCATATCGCAGTACTTTAAGCCCCGCAAAACCAATAAACCTCCCTCCGAACAAAACCCCACTTGAAAGTAAAACCATGCATAAAAATATCTCTCATAACCATGTAGAACGTATACAGAAAAAAGGCGGGGGTATAAACATCAAGCACAACAGGCAACGACAGCACCTGTACACCAGCGCAACTCGACGACCAGAATCGAATCGATCTCCGCCTGCGCATGCCCATCAACCACAACCGTATATCTCATCGATCATCGACCATCGCACGCATCAGGTATCTTCACATCTTCACACCGAAGAGAATCGCATCCCTCATGCCCTCCCAGATCTCCAAAGAGATTGTTCTAGCAACACTCCTCACAGCACTCGAAGCACAACAACCCCGCGCAACTATTTTCAGCCTGTTAGCTTGTTATCCACCGGAAAAAGGGGGTCGGAAGAACATACACGCCACAGCAGACGCCGCCGCCGCCACCACCGCGGAGGTTCATCTGCATTTGTTCTTGGGTGGACTGCGAGCCAGAAATTAGCTTGTTGTTTTATTTCGGGGAACATGGGCTGCGGGGAAAGAGGGACAGGTGCAAGCAAGGGCAAGGACAACGCACGGGCTGCTCGGTGACGACGCGCTCGGTGGACGGGGCCTGGGGGCTCGAGGGTTGCTGCATGGTCGGGGGCATCATGGTGGCCGTGTTGGGGTTCCAGGTGGGTGCGCCCTCGGCGGGGGTGGATTGCTTGGTGGAGGTGAAGAGGTTGAACATTTTGATCGTTGGTAGTGAGTTTATGTGATTGTAGGTGTGGTGGAGGCGAGTAAGGTGGGTTTTGTTTCGTATTTAGTCTATGAAGATAAAGACTGAGAGAATGTGGGTGAGATGAGACGGGGGATAAGCTGACACGGGCACTGCAAGGGTATTTATGTTGGAGAGACTTTCAAGGTTCACTCACTGGGCAATTAGTTGTCAATGGGATCTTTAGTTTACTAAGTTTGGTTTGGTTTCAATAATGGGTCAGGGGTCCGAACCCATCCTGGGGCGCCCTAGGGTGCAGTGCAGTGGTTGAGCATAAGTTACAGTACGGTAATAGTATTATACCAAAACAGCCAGTCACAGCCACGAGATGCTCCACGTCAGCGGCTCAGCCCTGCCACGCTTGCGTTTCTACAGGTGGGGCAGCAGCAGCAACAGCAGCAGCGCAGCAGGGCACTCACTTTTACACTGCACGTACAGAATCACTTACCCAGCAATGCAATCTTCTCTCTCTCTAAACTTAGAATCGCTCCAGCTATGAGCACATACCGGTAGTACTCGAGCGCGTACAGCCATGCATCTACCAATAGCACCAGATGATCATGCACATCCACACCTCCCACTTGACCGTCTCACCCTCACCCTCACCCTCATCCCAGCAGAGCAGAGCAAAGCAATAGCAGCAGCCGATCCCTCCCTTCCTCCTCCCGCCAAACCTCAACCCGATTCGCAGTTCATCCAACCAAACTCCACTCCCCTCAACCGCCAAGACCGCCAACCCCCTTTCTTGGATCAACCAGGCCATTGCAGGAAAATAAAAAATCAGGCAGCCTCAATTTTTCGCCTATACCGTGTACGTATTCGTTTTCCCGCCCGGGCTTTTCCGCCGGGCGATGCCAAGAACCACTATCGAGAAAGAATCCCCCCGTCAAGCTTCCGAGGAAAAGCTTTTCGCTGCTCGCCTGGTTTTTTTGGGGAGGCGTCACGGCGTCAGTGAATCCCCGGGGACGTCGTGCGTGCAACGGATGAACGTGCTATTCTTAGCAAGAATGGTGGCCTATCCTGTCTGTGGCTGGGTGGTTCCTGAAACCACCTTTTCTGATTCCTGGTGGAACGATTCGAGAATCCCCCCCCCCCCCCCAAAATGAACCCCGGATCAGCAGAACCGAATGAGCCCTTGCATTACTTCCCCTCTAGGTGACTGCGTGACTGGTGACTGGGTCCTCTGGAGGCAGAAACATTTCCCCCCGGCTACGCGATCATTGGCTGAACGTTGTTGAAACAAACCCTCGCAAATTACCGTTGCGGTGACCCCGAGCTCTCTAGTCCAGAGTAATCTGATTGAGGCGAATCTCGGGGCCTAAGTTAATAATGAACCCAAAGTGACCCCTTTCGAGACAACTATCGGTAGTTCGGCCGTTTTGTTGCTCCCAGTTTTGGGAAGGAAATGGATCGGCTCGCTGTTGAAAGTGTGGCTGTGTGCACACCTCGGGGCGCGGGCTCGGAGCCAAAGCCACACACCGCTTGCGCGGCAAACCTGCTTGATGCGTACGGGACAGAAAGTGTCCCTCGTGGCGCCCAGTGTTCTAGGTTTCTGGGCACTGGGTGTAAATTGGGGAGAGTGAGAAAGTCGACCATCAACCAAGTGCAAAAAATCCCTATGCAGCGTTTGGCAACGAGATGTGCTACCCATTGTCACCTCGAATGTGATAACTAACGGACATTAGCGCGGTTGGGGGCGGAAGCCGCGCGCCAGAGTCATGTCTTTGGATGAAACACCAGTTTCCTTTCGACTGGTCTGGATTCTGTCACTCATTATCTTTCGATTAGGGGATCATCGGCATTGCCCTGTCAATCACGTTTACCCGCTGCGGAGATGACACGCATTCTGTCTCAGGTATCTTAGTGGTGCAAACCGGGCAAGCTGCAACTACCGGCTTGTTCTTAGATACAACGCGAGTAACTGTGTTACAATTGAAACATCAGCCAACCTCAATCCTGGTCTACCATAGATCTACAACATTTCTGCTCAAACATCAAGATCCGGAAGCCAATGTTCTTTCCACTGTTGCAACCACGTCTTGAACAGCTCGAAATCGACAGGCTCAATCGTGCCCATGACTTGACTATGGGCAATCGCGTTTGTCGTTTCGAGAGGCGCGGCAGTGGCACCTTGTTGATCAAGTAGACTCTTGAAGAACTCCAGCAATGGAACGGCCGGCAGACTTTCGAGACGTTCGCGACTTGCATCATCTGAGATTTGTTGCAAATCATTGACCCATTCTTCAAGTGAAACCACCCGGGCTTTGCACGCTCTAGCCACCAGGGGAGCAAACAAGTCCCAATCTTTTGGTTCCGGGTTGACAATGTGGTATACCTTGAGTCTGGTGAGATTCTGCTCCTCGTGACGGCGTTGAACTATCTGCACAATAGCTTGAGCAGCTAGGTCCTGTACATCAAAATGTCAGCAACCACCGAATCTTGTTGTTCAAAGACATGCCAATGTGTGCCGCTCAGAAGCTCAAGAACTTACTATCGGGATCCAATTAACCTTCATTGCTCCCAAAGCATCCGGAACCTCGCCCATGGTGATTGACGAGCGGACCATCGACGGAAACCAGTCCCGCGGGTTCCACATCCCTCCTCTGGGAGATGAGGGACCGCCCAACTGACCGATGCGGTGAATGCTGATAGAAAGGTTGCTGCGCTGGGCTGCGATTGCGCAAAGGGACTCGGCCACGAACTTCGACTCAGCATATCCCAGTTCTTGCACCACGGGGGTCTCATGCAGTGTTTCAGGAATTGTTGATCCATGTGATGCTTGCCATGCCCCGACCGTCGAAACAGATGACATGTAGTGCAAGTGAGCCTGACGAGGGGACTCCTCAACCAGGTTCAGGAGGCGTCGCAGCCCCTTAAGCATAGGGTCTTCAAAGGCCTTTAAAGGTTTATGGAAATCAACTGGCCAGGCGTTGTGAATATAGACATCCGCTGTGTCCCGCAGCTGACGATACTGAGCAGGTGCTAGCCCCAGCATGTCATCGCCTAGGCTGACCTGCCAGAAGTGAACCCGTGAGGTTTTTGTGATCCATCCACCTGACAAGCCCCTTTCCTGGAATTTATTCACCTGGCGGTCAGCTGCATCGGCGCTACGGTTGAGGCAATATATCTCTGCAACCGACGGGATTTGCAATAATTGATGGAGCAGGCGACTACCGAGATCACCCGTCGAGCCCGTTAGCACTACCGTGGTACCGCCGTGGCCAAGATGCCGAGAGTGATCCCAGATAGAATGGACAAGCCGATCGGTTCGCGTCCACTGGGCATCTGAGCTCTTTTTGCTTGACTCATCACCACCAACATCACCACCAACATGTCGACTAAGTCTGTCGGCAAGACCTTGGATGGAGCCTGCTTGGTAAATCTCATTGCTTGACCAAGCCATAGCTTTTCCAGAGGGGTGCAATTTCTTTGATGCATGCTGCAACATTCTCGACAACTCGGTTACCTGCAGTGAGTCGATCCCGCTATCAACTAGATCATCATTCTCGCCAACATCCTTCAACCGGAGTCGCTGGGAGAATACTCGTAAGAGCCATTGCTCGAGTGCGTCTCCACCCGAGCCCTCAGGATATGCTCCAACCTTGGCATCGTGCACGTTAGAATCTTTAGAGTCTCCAGACTCATACAAGGAGTCCAGGACGGACTTGTAATCGTTGGCAATCTCGCGTCGGCGCAAGGATCCCTTTGGGGATCGGGCGAACGGTTTATCGCGAGACGTAAGAGCTATGTGAGTGTCGAAAATACGTGCATAAGCCGGGAGTGCTTCATTAGCCTCATCCAAAAGTGACCCAAGCTGCTGTCGAAGCCATCCCTCGGTCCAGTCCTCGGGAAGGTTATCCCACTCGGGTTCCAGAAGCAATGCGGCTTGATGGCGGTCCTGGCCAAAGATGGCCGCGCGGCTGATCAGTTGGTGTCTCTCGAGGATCTTTTCAGCTTCGATAGGATTGAACTTCTCCCCGTTGCTCATGACATTGATGTCGTCGCCTCTGCCGCTGAAACGCCAAAGACCAGATTTCGTTGGATGTGGAGTGAAAAGGTCGCCCGTGCGATACTCAGATAGATCTGGGTAGGAATAGAAGATTGCGTGATACTTGCGTGACTCGGGCCTGGGAATCACTAATTCAAAGACCCCTTTCTCGACTTCGTCCATTCGCACCCCGAACGCCGGAACCCATTCTAGATAACACCAATCGGCCGGATCTTCGCAGAGCAAAACGGGCGTCCATCCCGTCTCGGTGCTCCCCAGCACAGTCTGTAGACGTGCCAGCGATGACAACTGGTCCCCAGCGGATTGTGACATGGGCGCTCCACCAAAAGTCACGTCCTCGAATTGCGAAAACGCTTTCCGGCCGCTCTCCTGTTTCCCAAGGTCCTCAATGACAGGTGCAGCTATCAACGTCCATTTGGGATGATGAGCAGACATGATCTGCGCAAATAGATCAGGGTCTAGCGGACGGTCGGGCGCAAGGACGAATGGTGTCTTGAAATAGATACACTCGGTGATGCAGACCAGGCCGACGAAATGAAACAAAGGACCATAGTGAAACCGTAATCTTCCGTTCGCTCGCACATGAGCTTGGGCGAGCTGTCGTCCCTCTGGCACAGGGATGGTCCGGAGATTCTCGAGGATGGCGAAATAACCATGTGTTATATTGATAGGCTTGGGCATCCCCGTTGTTCCAGAGCTATGCAGGATAACTGGGGATATATCCTCGGCGGCGGCGAAATCGTGCTCGTACTTGTAGGGGTAGTTGTCACTTGGCGCATCTTGGAAGACTTCCCAGAGTGACAGCATACGCCATTTCTGGAACCCCTCTGAGCGATTCCTTGTGACCTTGTCCAGCATCTGTCGCAGTTGCTGCTTGTTGCTGGCGTCGACCATGACTGAGCAATCTGTGGCGTCGAGCAGATGCTGGAACGCGGAATGAGAGTTCCGGGTGGAGAGAAGCAATGCCTATGTTGAATGAGCTTTCTCATCAATGGGAGGAAATCCTGCTTCCACGAACCGTGTTTCCTGATTTCATGCAGGCCAATATAAACACCGCGTATCGCACATCATTGGTCCCTATATAGGCGAGGACATGCCGCTTCTGCTTGGCCCGATCGCCCAGCTGCTGGTCAATCCAGAACGCAATGCGATTGACCGCATGGGCTAGATCCTGGTAGGTGATGCTTCGCCAATTTTCGGCTGAGTTCATAGAGACTGGATGGATGCAGTACAGCTGATCTGGTTGAGTTTCTGCCAACTCGTCCACCACCTGGTGTAGGAGTCGGCCTGGAGAAGCTTCTGAACCCATTCTGAGGGACTTGATACGATGATATCAAAGCAAGTTGATGCAAACTGCTGTGAAGAAGACATTTTCTGGACGGATACGAGGAGCTAATATGTACTATTGCTTTCTTCGGAGGTGTGACGGCATTGTAGCCTGCAGTGCGCGACACATTCCTCATGGCGTATAAGCGGCGCGCAAGGGGCAAACTCGTTACCATTGGGGGAAGGGGGCACAAGATGCCTCGAGTTGCTGTTCTCTCGCAGCTGCATCGACATATGACATCTGCTGGCAAGGTATCAACGTCATCGAAGTTCAAATTCAGGGTCCATCCGCTGCCGAAAAGCTGTCTGACTGGATGGTAACTATGTTCGCGGCAATAATGGTCCTGCCGAATCCTGAGCTGCTCATTTCTGGGAAGCTCGGACTAGACCGCTCGAGAACTTCTCCAAGTTTCTTCTGGTGGTATTGTTATTAGATGCTCCAAGGAAAACCGCCAAAGGTTCGCCTGATTGCTAGGTTTCGGTCACAGTTCGGAGCCGGTATAGCAGGGACTTCACGTAACGCGTACCACGAGTTGCTTACCTTATTTATTTTGTTTCCCAGTTCGTCAATTGACATGCATCAGGTCACAGTGGCTGCGTCATACCACTAACCTTTTTCTTGAACGAGTATGAAAAAAAAAGAGGAGGGTGCAGATTACCCGGTGCAAGGGATCATGCGGTCGATGTAGTGTATTCTGAGAATGGGAAGGATGATCGCATTCCAATCGAGAGTTTCTGCAAGTTCTGTCCGTGCTTGCCCGATATGGTATACAATTACTAGGAACGGCCAGGAGTGGCAACGCACCCTCAAGACGCGAGATCTGATTTAAAGACCGATGCTTGTCGAATGGCAAACGGAATGGTCCAGTTGCAGGGGCCTAGCCGTCAATATCCCAAAACCGCGCACTTGCACTGCAAAAAAGGATAGAAAACCCAAACCGCCCCCGGACCATAATAACCAGTAACGCCCCCTTAATGCATCATCCCAAGAAGTGAAAGGCTAGCAGGAAACCGATATTTCCTTGATTGACTTGGTGTCACCAGTGGGAGGACCCAACCACCATCGAAGGAATAATTTCAGGCTCTCCCGTATCCTCGGTCCTCATGTCGTACAGTTTGGTCGAGTTGACCACAAGACTTTCGCCATTGAAATAGGCCTACAAGATGCGAACTTGCAGGGAATGCATAAGGGAACATACCATCACCTATAATGTTTGGGCTGAATTAGCACAATACCGTCCAACCACCTTCAAAGCATAGGGCGCCTTGCGGGAATACCACCGTCTGTTTCAACAGGGAAAAAAAGAGGACAGGAACCTTACAGGAGCTAGTGTATGAGGCAAGGTGGACTTGAAGCTCAGCCGGTTGATCATCGAGTTGATAATGGTGATGAGTTCACCCCGAAGAAGCCGCCCATCCCCCGCAACCTCGCTTCTCAGGAGACATTTGAAATGGGGCGGCGATGACCTGCTTTAATCGGCGGCTCGTCGTGCAATGTATGTGAGAGACGCCTGCCACGAGTGGCCGTCGACACTGGGAAGTTCGTAAAGGTCCTTCAGACGGAGGTCTGGCCTTCTAGAACAAGGTAAAGGTGGTAGCTTGGAACAGCGGGTGCGAGTGCCCAGAACGAAAGGGAGATAGGGCTTACTCTTTGTGTACAGAACTCGGAAGCTTGTTTTCGTCCGCTGACCATGTGCCGCCAAGGTAGCTATCCAGGTAATAATGAAGTCCCATCGTGTTCAGTTGGTCCTCCGACTCGGGATTATAGGTTGGATACTCCGAGCCCTCGTCATCGGGCTGAAACCAGCATTCTTCCTCTGTGCATGCATTGAAAAAGGAGGGTGCCTCGGCCTGAGATTCAAGCGACATTGGGCGATGTTGGACGCCCGCATTTTGGGCATCGTGTTGGTCGATATGGTCGGTCTGTAGCTGGCGTATTTTATCCTTGATTGTATCGAGATTGTAACGGCAGTGTTTGCGGAGTCTCAGACTTATTTCCTGATCATGATCTTGGGTGGCCATAACTCAGATTACTAGTTAAGAGGAAGAATGAACGCAAGGGAGGGTTGGGGGTTAGCTTGACCAGAGGAACAGCTCGAGGTGGGAGCCTGGAATTAAGGCATAACTAACGCCAAGGCGGCAGGACTCATGCATTGAAGAAGTATGAGACCATGCAAATCGACTGACAGAATCACATTATATTGTGAGTTTATTTGAGTAGTAGTTTCAATCTCAGAATTAGTTTATATTTTTGTATTTTTCATTTTTCATTTTTTTTTTACTTTCTAATTCTCTGATCTTCTTGCTAAGCCCCAACATAACCAAGATATGTGACCTTTAGAGAACGGCAGTTAACCAAGAGCAAAAGAACCTGAGAAGAGCATAGCACCCCAAGACGGCAAATCACGCCAAAAGCCATACCGACACCCAGCCCCTCAAGACTGAGGGCAACTAGAAGCCACCGCCACCCTCAAAACCGGGAACACTATAGACCCCCTTCAACCAAAGCACCGTATCGATCGGCCACCAGAGCGAGGCCACAAGCGCCGCAAGAACACAGGCAATATCCAGGTCATCGAGGTTAAGTGAGGGATCAAACTCGACGAAAGAAGCCAAGAAAATCCTGACCAGCAGCAGAATCACCCAGCTCGATTTGAAGACGGCCAAAGCCCAGTGATGGGCATACCACTGGTCGATGCCGCTGATCCAGCCCAGAAACCCGGCGAGGTAACCGGCGACCTCCTGCTTCTTGTAGCACTGGTCGTGGGGCTTCAGGCTCTCATCCTGATTCCGATGGATGCTGAGACCGAGGGCGTAGGCGAAGAGCGCTATGAAGGAGAGTACCCACACGGCGAAGCAGAACGGAAACCAGAACGCCCCGCTGCATAGCCAGGACACGAAGCCCCGACACCCGCGGCTGATTCGGAACCGGCAACGGCGGCGGTCCTGTTTGGTGCTGGTATTGTCATCGCTAGCGGTGGGGGACTGGTCCTCGATGTCTTCCTCGGCGATGGGTTCAACTGCGAGCGGAGTAACCACGGGTTGAGTAGCCGTGTGGCTGTAGCGAGGTGGGCTGACGGAGCGGTAGGAGGGCGGACGGGACCGTGCAGCTGCAGGAAGTTCAGGAGCTGGGCAAGTCTCGTTGGGCATATCGGTGATTGAATGTCCTTGAGGGTCTTCCGAAGCTTCAGTCGGCTGCTCGGGGAAGTCATCTGGAGCTTTTGCGGTGATCGGAGCATCGGCACACTTTTCCTGAGGTTGGCAAGACATCGTGTACTGTAAACGTACGAGGTTGCGGATACTGGGTAATAAAGTATCAGTGTCAGATCTCGTGAAGGCTGCACAGGAATGGTGTGGGTGGTAGAAGCCCATTTCCTCGGATGGTAGTAGAAGTAAAGGTTTCTGATATACTCTCACGAGGGATCGATTTCAATCAAAGAGTCTTTTATCTTAGATGGGCTTTCCAGGCAGATTTCGACTGACACGGCTAAGATCCCATGGTGAATAGGTGAGGGGTCGTCTTCCTGGCAAAGCGTTGTTTGAGGCCTTGTTTGAGGCAGTGGCAATGTAGTTTGTGATAAGCCAACGTTTGTATGTTGCACAGTGCCCGATAATGAAAGCCCTCAACAGGCAACACCTGCCCTTTGGTACCAGGTAAACACGAAGGTAACGTACAATGAATCCAGAGAGACTTTAGGAAGAGCTTTCATGACGCAAAGCAGTTTGTCTACTGTGAGTGCTATTGAGAAGACTTGAATTTCATTTGTCCATCTGTGCTTTGCTTTGTTGGCTTGATCAATCTACCCCCATTTCTTTCAATCGACTAACTTCATTCATTTCCAAGTATCAAAGGATTGTCCCAGCTCAATTCACTTGCTCACGAGCAAGGAAAAAGAATCATACAGCAATGAAAGCTACAATCAAATTTATGGTAACAAATTCTCCACATCGTCCAAGCCCCACGGCCTGTGTGCCTCTTTGAAATTTCTCAGATCCCGATACGACCCATGCAACCTGGGGTGCTATACACACCCGATCCCCAAAGGATCACATCAATCAGCCACCAGAAAATAGTGACGATCATCATCAGAAACGAATCTGTTGAGAGCCAAAACAAGCCTGGGGGGAAATCCGCGAAATAAGGCTCATGGTTGCCGCCGTAGCGGTGATGAGGAAAAGTCCAGCCTCCAACAATGCCCACATCGACTTGAGGACGGCAAGCAGCCAATGATGAGCATACCAATGGTCGGCTCCCAGCAGGCCCAGGATGCAAGCCAAGCCGATCGCCGTGTCGTGTTGGTTTGAGCACCGGTCATCCAGCAAGCTGTCTTCGTTGTTGATGTTATAATCGCGCTTGTTTTGAAAGTAGAAGGCGAGGTTGAAGAAGACCATGAACATGCAGAGAATTGTGAGGGTATAGTTAGTGCACTTGGAAGCCCACTTCTCGTCTGCATCATTTCGGACACGGAGAGGACGACTGTAGATTCTGACTTCGTAGACTAGGAGGTCAGGGAGTCGTTGTTCTTCAACGTCCATGGCAGCGGCTGACATCTTGGTGGGAAGGCTACATGGAGGTGAAGTATTGGTGGGTTCATGCTCATAGGCAGGCGGTGGAGTCGGCTCCCTCAGGATTTCGGGAGACTGGGGAGAATCAGTCGGAGCCTCATGGGAGACTGGGAAAGTTTCCTCAGAGACCTCAGAAGCTCCAACGGAGGGCTGCGAAGACCTAGTCCGAGTCCGGCAGGTCACCGAGGAAGCCACTGAGGATTGGGAAGAGTCGGATTGACTTGTAGACGAAGAACTCATGATGCACTGCAAACACTTCAATCACTCATATGAGGATTTGATCTAGACGCCCTCAGGCAGTCGCTCAGGCTGCGTCAAACTCAAAATTTCAAAGCCAATGGATGCAATACTAGTGCTGATAGAAATGTAAGCCTTGCTGAGAGTGGGCGGGGCTTTTATGTTGAGAGGATCGACGTGTCTTCGAGGTGTAAAATTCTTCGTATCTGGCGGGAGAAGCGGGTGAAGGCATCTGTCAACCAATGCATCCCAGTAAGAGGGTCCTTGCTCATCTTGTAAACCACCAAGTAACCCTGGACCGAATGGTTACATTGCTGGTCAGCATTGCACTTCGCTGTTCTCCTCGTTTGGTGCGGCGGATAATGGATTTGACAGGTTTCATTTGTTGTCTGAAACAATGACTACGAAGGCATGGCATAGCCTCGTCACTAGCAGTTAACAGGCAAGGGCTTTTGCCTGTGACGTGACCTGTATACGTCGAAGAAGTAATGACTTTCGAAAAATCGCGCATCTTCCAAGACGAAGGACCGATCAACTACGATGTATATTCGGCATTGGGTGAGAGATTGAAGGGACCTACCGTACCACACCCATACAAACTTGGAACTTTGATAAGCCGTCTTGAACCATGCAAAGTGAATAATCACTATAGTATGATCCATTGATCGATGTGCAGGAAGGAAGTCGGGGACTCTGATTCTCTGCGCGATAGAGCGAGAAGGTGCCTCGGCGTCGTCACGATGATGAGCAGGCGTTGATCTGCGAGCATCTGCCCAAATCGACTGGTGCTTCACTCGGGCACAGCAGGCGTTTGGCAAGCAAACGCATTGGTGAAACCATCCGGTGGAGGGATCTAAAAATCTGGATGTGCAGTGTCTCAGTTCTCCTCATTTGGCGCCATATTTACGAGGCAAGGTTTCGGCAAGCGGCATCGAGGAGTCAACAGATCTGACTGCAAGATCAGTTACGAGAGAACTAGGGAGAGGGAGTAGTCAGTTGGGCAGGATCAAGTGCCTCCATGTGCGAGCAACATACCACACTATTGGCAGCGATGAGACAGTTCTGTGATCCTTGTCGTTGGCAATTGATGGCAGCGCACCTTTCAGCTGTGCAAGAGAATAGGCCCATAGCTGCTCTGAGCCTGTAGAGATCCAGCCATTCATTGCTTCTGTAGATCTTCGAGGAGATTTGGAGAAGGACGCCGGGATAGGTGATGGATAGAAGCTCTACTCCAAGAGTGTGTTGTGCTATCGAAACTGCTTAAGACGGTAGGCGGACAGGACAACCTACCGTACCGCTTTAGTGTCCGCTTAGGGCCTTAGGCCAAGCACTGCAGCAGCAGTACGTATCGTACCCCCACTCACCTCCCGCCCGCTAAACGCAGCGTTATCGCAAGTGGGGCCTCCACATTCCATAAGTTCTTCTCTCCTCACCATCAACTTTCCTACCTCCCTCCCACATCTCGTCTTCCCTCTACACCAACAAACCCTCAGGGACACGACCAAAATGCCCCCCCAAACCCAAACCTCCAAAATTCCAGTCCATATCCTCGACGGCGGCCTGGGCACTACCCTCCAAGACCACCACGCGACAACCTTCAACTCAACCACCACCCCGCTCTGGTCCTCGCACCTCCTAATCTCCTCCCCCCCGACCCTGCTCGCCTGCCAGCGCGCCTTCATCGAAGCCGGCAGCGACGTCCTCCTGACGGCGACCTATCAAGTCTCCATCGAAGGGTTCGCGCGCACCAAGACCGCCTCCCACCCGGACGGGATCCCGCGCGATGCGATCGCGCCGTACATCCGCACCGCGCTGACCGTGGCGGCCGACGCCGTTGAAGGATCAAACGCCAAGATCGCGCTGAGCCTGGGCCCTTACGGGGCGTGTATGATCCCCGGACAGGAGTATAGCGGGGCGTATGATGCCGAGCATGATGACGAGGAGAGCTTGTTTCGGTGGCATTTGGAGAGGTTGCGGTTGATTGTGGAGGCGGTGCAGCACGATGACGGCCAAAGGTTGGAGGACAAGGTGCAGTATGTGGCGTTTGAGACGGTGCCGCGGTTGGATGAGGTACGCGCGGTGCGGCGGGCGGCGAGGGCGGCCGGGTTGGAGGCGATGGGGATCCCGTTCTGGGTGGTATGCGTGTTCCCCGTCGAGGGGCAAGATGTCTTGCCGGATGGGAGTGCGGTGGAGGCTGTCGTGGAGGCGGCGTTGAGTGGCCCCGAGCCCCAGCCTTGGGGCATTGGGATGAACTGCACCAAGGTGCATCGGTTGGGGCGGTTGGTGAAATTGTTCGGGGAGGGGGTGGAGAAGGTGCTGGGTGAGGAGGCGGCGCAGGCGAGGCCTGCGTTGGTGTTGTATCCCGATGGCACGCAGGGGGAGGTCTACAATACCACTACCCAAGTGTGGGAGAAGAAGGTCGAAGGACCTGGTGCTGCGGATTGGGTATGTCTCTCACACACACTCTCTCTCTCTTTCATGCTTTTAACTGTGGTCATGGCGTCCGCCAAGTTCTCACATTTGACTTTCTTGAGAACTTCTATGTTGCGCATGTGCACTAACGATGAATAGCGTCCGTGGGAAGTTCAACTTGCAGAGGTTGTCAATGACGCTCGTGCTGGCGGTCACTTCAGCTCGATCCTCGTGGGTGGGTGCTGCAAAGCGTCGCATCATGACATCGCCAAGCTTCGAAAACAGTTTCATTGATTATCAACCACGACAAATGTACAAATAACTCAAAAGACACTACGCGAAAATGATACCATTTATAGTGGAATGATACTGTGTATACAAGGATAGAGCCAAAAAAGTGTTGAAAAAAAGGTCTAGTGGGTATCACCGTCTAGGTATATACAAGTCTATATACAACAGCATGTGTATGTACTTAGAAGATCCAGTCAACAAAGCGCTTGAGGGGAGTCCGGGGTCCATGGTCTTTAACAATGATCTCGCCCTCCACGAGGCGGCCAGACCAGAGATCCAGAGTAGATGCGCGGACAAACTAAAGCAACCTATTAGCGTCTGCATCACGAAACAAGAGGAATGAAATGGAACTAACCTTGCTTTTCTTGAAGATCTTCCAGAGGATGATTGGCACAATGAAGATCGGAATACCGACATACGAGGCGAAAAAGTCCGAGGTAGACCAGTTCCCCTTGAGGAAGACAGGGAATCCAGCCACAAGGGTAATGATGGTGGAACCAATGAATCCCACCCACGCAGTGTAGGGCTGGAAAGGACCCTGCCAAGGGAGGGTATCGCGACTATGGCCTTGGACCTTCATCGCCCGATGGAAGCGAATATAACAAAAGCTGAGAGTCGCCCAAGCAATTAAGCCGGCGATCGTGCTAAGGTTAAGGAGCCAGGTGAAGGCTTGAGAAGGACCACCACTTCCGAGACCTAAGCAGAATCTTGGTTAGATGAATGATCTGATAGTGAACTAGGAAAGGATGCTTACTTAGATAGGCCAGAGGACCGAAGAGCCAGGAGACGACCACCGCAACATACGGAACACCTTTCTTTGTGACCTTGCCGAAAAACTGGGGGAGTTGGCGATCGGTGGTCATGGCTACGATCATGCGTGAGCCGACCCAGCAGTAGGAGTTACCGGCAGACCAGGCAGAGATCAAAACACAGGCATTCACAACCGAGGGGAGACCACTGATGCCGGCCTGCTTGATGGCGATGACCCATGGAGAGCTGTTGGCATTGCCAGAGCCAGAGGTGAGGCCAGAGGTCCGGGGGTCGACAATCATTCCAATGAGCAGGGCTCCGAGGATGTAGAAGAAGGCAATGCGGTAGGTGACGCGACGGGCAGCCTTGGGGATGGCGCGGTGCGGGTCCATAGCTTCGGCGGCGGCAATGACGACAGTCTCGACTCCGACGAAACTGAAGGAGGCGTTGACAAAGGCTGACAAGAATCCCAGAAAGTGCCCAGTTGGTCCTGTAATGCCATTGTAGTTGGTCCAGGGACCAGGGTTGTGCCAGTAGCGGAAGCCAATGGTCTCGTGGTTCGGGCCGCCGCCTGCGGTGATCACGATGGCCACGATCACCAAGCCCAGAAAACACAAGACCTTGATGGCACCTGTCACGACTTCACTCTCGCCATAGAAACGGACACTCATCAGATTGATAATCAAGATCAGTGCCAACCCGACTGTTATCACCACAGCCGGTGTTATGTCTGACCAGTAGCTCACCACGACCGCGGCCGCGGAGACCTCCGAAGCAATGGCAATGGTGTAACAATATCCGTAAGTGATGGCGAGAGAGAAACCGACGGCGGGATCGATGAACCGAGTAGCCCAGTGGGGGAAGGAGCCTGCAGTAGGAAAGAGAGTCGCCAGTTCGGCGATGCTTTGCATGACACACCACAGCACAAACCCCACGACAATATATGCCAACAACAAACCGGCCGGCCCTGATTTCGCATAGGCAGAGCCGGCTCCAACGAAGAGACCAGTTCCGATACCACCGCAGAATCCAATCATGCTGATGTGGTAGTTTTTGAGTCGACGCTGAGTGGCACCACGGCCACCCACATTAAGCTCCATCTCCCCTTTTACCGGGGGACCATCCTCTTCGCCATAATAGTTGGGCACCTTCGGATCACCGCTTCCATGATGCTCAATCTTATTCTCCGCAGCGGAGACTGAAGAGTCGTACATCGTTTGCGCCGAAGGTTGTGCAGGTGCTCACAGGCAGAGGAAGTCCGGGGGAAAAGCTGAAATGTGGGATGAGAGGGGGGGGGGGGAAATGTCTTGGAGGGAGGAACACCGGGGGACAATTATATCAATCAATGGCAGGCTGGCGACCAACCGATTGAACCGCGCAGCTTGCCACCGATCGGCCTCGCGCGGAGAACCACTTTTTTTTTTCTACCCACCGTCGCCGCAGTGTGCAATCGCCATCACGACATCGGGTACCGGATTGGCACCATTCCCTTTTATCGCTAAGCGTGCCATCCTCCCCACCGCACGCGTGCCGCTCTATGGTGAGTTTCCGAAGACGGCCTCCACTTGGCCCGGGAGATGGGAACTGCGATTGAACATGCGAATTAGTCATTCGTGTTGATACAAGCTTTAAATGACAGGGGGAGAAGAACCAAGAACTTCTTCTGCGTTCAAGCCGAGTCCAGGATTGGAGGAGCCATGACATGAGGAGAATCGGTGTGGCGAAGAGAGATTACAGTTTTTCGAGAAAAAACCGTGAAAGTTTCCAGTTCCGGATCTGCCCTTGGGAGCAGTGTGCGAGGCACGTGTTTTGGATGGCCACTAGTCCCGGTAGAGATTAGTGTGCTCTGCAACGGTTCCTGCAGCCGCTCACTGCAATTCCGCACTATCAGCTTACGCTTAAAATTCTAGCGTCGTTCGGGCCAGAGCCAAGACGGGATTGCTGCTCATCGCTTCTGGAGTCATTGTACAGTACAGAAACGCAGGTGTGCTTTCTTTTGAGAATCATCCACATAGATTCAACTGTACTGAGATATGCTACGTATACTTCAGTCTCCTTCCATCATCATCAGGTGCAGTCTGAACCCGCCGCCTCCGATTCGGAGAAACCCACTCCGCTTCTCGCATAGCTCTTACGTAAAAACTCACACAAGCTCGGGGACCCAAGCGCAATTAGCTCCCTTTTGATACGCTGTTTGTGAAAGCAATCAATCAATGAAGCTGGTCAAAACGATAAGAGATGGCCGCGGGTGCTGAAAGGCAATTTCGGCCGAGCAAAACGGCTGCCTGAAGAAACGGGATGAGTGGTCTAGATTGCTGGGCGCATCGAATATTGTTCTTCTTCCAATTGATGTCACTCTTTGCCACTGTCAGGTGCGGATGGACCCCAGGGTGGCTCTCATGAGCACATTCCCATGTCAGATCGCGTCATAAGAAGAGAGTGATCTTCTGTATAGTATTTGGAAGGTGTAAGAAGTGTGGTGTGGTGCCAATGCCAGACGGTAGCCTCTCGAGTTCTCAGCCATTAACGACCATATTCGTCTATATGCTCAAGTGGCAATGCATAATAGCCCTCGCCAGTGGTAAAACATTGCAAGGCAGGAGTGCTGGCTTAGCCTGCGCTGGGTCGAAAACGGTCGTTTCTATAAAAGACAGCGATTGAAATGCGCGGCTAGTTCGTAGCCAGAACTACTAGTCGATCTCGGACCCGGCAAGCCCGGTCGAGAGACTAAGTAGAGCTGATCTCTTGTTGATCTGCATTGACGGATATTAGTTGGAAGCTGACCGTTATGGGTACCTACTCCTATCCAATGCCATAAGCCATGAAGGCAATTATTATCGCTGCAAGCCATCGACTATACTGCATAAAAATGTCTATGCAGTCATGGATTTGCGATATATCACAATACCACCTTAAGCCCAGCGCAGCAGCGTACAAGCTCGAAAAGCGACATCGACCGAGATGCACATTCTCAGAACCCAAGCCTCCGCCCCAGCAAACTAATATACATCACATCAAAACCAAAACCTTTTATGACCCCCAACGCCAAACAAACAGTACATAAAAATGCACATCACCACTCCCGGAATCCAAAAAAAGTAGACATATCATCACAATCCATCATCACCAACATCCTCCCTTATTTCACCCACTCAAAACCCCCCCATTCTCAAAATTCACTCATTTCTTCCCCCCCTCCCCCTCCCCCTCACCATCCCCCTTCCCCCAAGTCCAAACATCCCAAATATGCTCCCGGATCAAATCCCCATACCCCTTCCCCTCATCGAGGGCCTTCTGCTCCTCGCGCAGGCGCCGCTCCTTCCACCCCTCGGTCTCGCCACCCATCCACACGCGCTGCAGGACGGGCTTGTCGAACTCCTCGCGGGCCTTCAGCTTGGCCAGCTCCTCCCCCTTGGCATCCTCGATCTGCCGCTCGCGGTCCGCCTTCAGCCGGGCCTGGATCTCCAGCGCCCGCTCGCTGGGGAGCCCGTTCCCCAGCGAGGCCAGGGGGTGGCTCCGACCGGCGGAGATCTTGTCCTCGAGGCGGTCGACGATGCTGCGGCCGGTGCGCTCGCGCGTGAGGTGGTTGGCCGAGATCGAGAAGGCGCTAAGCTGGAGGACGGTCAGGTTGTCGAGCTTGCGCGGCGGGAGGGCGATGAGGATCGGGGAGGCAACCAGGAAGGTCCAGGCGGCGTAGGTCTTGAAGCGTTGGTAGTCGGCTTCCCGTTGGCTTTGAAGCGTGGCTTGTTGCTGCTGCTGTTGTTGTTGCTGATCTGGGGTAGTCGGGGGTTGTGGGGTGGTCATTTTGTGTTTGTCTTTTGGGGTGGGCGTTCGCTGGGTGAGACGCTTGTTCGTGGGGTTCAAGTGTCAAGAAGTAGACAGCCAGACAGAGTCTTGATGTTGGTTGCTTTTATATGTTGAGTATTGGTTCGTTTGTTTTCGTGATGAGATTCTTATCGGATCGTGTGCAGGATATTGTCTCGAAGATGGAAATTTACGGTGGACGGTTGAGCCAGATGCGCAGACACATTGGTCATGTGATGTCTAGACATGCATCATACATCGTTTTCTTGACAGGCGCTAGGCCTAGACATAGGCTATATAACCGGATCAGATATCGACTGCTGTTGATGCTCATGTGCATAAGAGACAGACTCTTTTGGTTGACAGTAGAGAACCTTCATCTCCTAGTAAAGCCTCGCCGATGTCCCATTGCAATACAAAAATGTGAGGTGACCGCATAACAATACAAGACGTGTCAATAGCCGCTACTTGAACCATCACAATGTCTCAACAACAACAACAACAAACTACCTTTCATCCCCTAGTCTAGGGCCATCCTGTTTATACTAGACATGTCGTGTGGCCTATCCGAATTGGAAGATTTGAGGAGGTATGTGAAGTGATGCCTTTATTCATGGTATGTGGGGAACATCTTACTGATTATAATCTATATATAGGTTGCTATGTACAAGCATTGAGAGTAATGGCCTATCTCCCTTTTCCGCTCGAATATAACCACACTTCTTGAACGCTTTTCTTATAGCATTGATTCTCGTCATTGACTGCCCAGGAAGCTTCGCATGTTCTTTCATACTCGCACAACAATCGGAGCTTAGATGGATATTGGGTGCAATTTCTGGCATCAAGAAAGAGATGGTAGGCATGGGAAGTCGAACTTTTAGATGCTGACAGTGTCAGAACTTATGTACAATACCATAGTAGAGTAGTTTATTGCTGTGTATAGTATACTGAGCTGTACTATAATACCCATCATGGAGACGATATGCTAATTCTAGTTTACAAAAGAGGAGACACGGCCCACCAATGGTCTACATACAGACCCTCACTCCGCGAGGGGAAACAGAGCCCCTGTATCGATGTCTTCGAAGATTTTAACTTGGTCGTAGTTGGCGGCCGCGTTGTCTGGCCTTTTGGCTTGTGCTGCCTGTATGGTGTTTGTGGAATGCGACCAATTTTCTTGTTGAAAGCGCAGCGGCGGTCGGCTTGTGAAGAGGGAGCAAGCCTATTCGCAAGCCTCTTCGCAAGCCTCTTCGTGTCTGTTGTCTTCATGGTCATTGCCATGGTTCGAAATCATTTTGTTGAGACTTCTGAAGTGTGACCTTTGTCTTCGTGGGCAGGGCAGCGGTGGTCGACTTGGTGGGATGCAGCAACACTCTTGAAAATCGGCGAAGTAGAGTCCCTCAACAGGCGAGGGAGCCTCTACCTTAACATTGACCTGGTGGCTGTTGGGGCGGTGCGGCGGGAAGTAGGAGGATGGAGGTTTTGAGATGCGGAGTCTCTATCCCTGCTATGGTCAGAAATATCCTTCATCTCCACGTCCAGGTTCTCACTGACCTTGGACTGCTGCCAGTTGAGAAGTGATAACGAGAGTCGGCGAAGTGGATTCTTCGGCGGGCACGGGAAACGTCCTCCATGTCCACATCCACATCCTCTTGAACGTAAACATCTCAATGCCTTGGTCATACATGGCCATGGGCTGGATATCATGGAGAAGTTGGATTCAGCGTTTTCAAAGTGGACCCTCTTTGGAGGAAGAAACACATCTTTCATCACCACGTCCTGGTCATTGCTGACCTTCAGGATAGATCTCGGGGAGAATGGGGATTGTTGGTGCGAGAAGAGAGGAAAGAAGAAAAAGAGAAGCTGAAGGATGAAGACGGAGGGTGGAAGCGAGAGACAGAAGACGAGACAGGAAGTGGAACTTGGGAAGTGGAAGTTCAGGGAAAGAGAAATGCGGATTAACATGTCGATTCACCACGGAAGGAACAGGGTTGATCTGTGAATCCAATGGAGACTTTGCTGTCGGCACCAGAGCTAGGAAGGAACAGCTAGGCAGGGCCACCAAGGCCCTAGCCCTAGGTGAAGCAATAACCTCGAAAAGCATTGGTCTCTAAATAAGTAGAATACCTACAGTAAAGTGAATGAATCAGGTTGATAGAGATACCTACTTGTTTAGTCGGGACTTAAATTGATCTACAGTGAATGCCAGCAGTCATTCGGCAAGTGAAAGACTCTTGGTTGATTTGTCTCCTGACTAGACTACCGACGAGTTGATAGAGGGAAGGGAGGCAGTGATGTCTGTAGCTTTAGCTTGCAGTCCATCGACAAATACATCATTGGGGTTCAACACCATACATGAGGAATAAACATGGGTTCTCAGACAAGACAAGCAGAGAGAAACTTGGAGCTTGCATAGCTTCACTCACTCCATCGACAAATCACACACCCACCAGGGGAGCTCGGGGGCATCTACCATCTCAACATCAGCGTCCTCCATCTCCACATCTTCATCTTCGGCTTCAGCCATCTCAACATCGGGGTCATAAATGACCTCGGGCTCGGAACAATGAAAGAGGTGAACTTCTGCACCAGCAAAGTGTACTTTTTTCTTGGGCAGAAAGACATCTTTCATAAGCACATCCTGGCCATTGCTGACCTTAAGGATGGACCGGGGATTCGCGGGGCGGGGGGATTGCTTGGAGGCAGGCGTTGTATTCCTAACCTCACAACGAACATCTCTCATCACCACGTCCTGGTCATTGCTGACCTGGGACGGACGCCGTTGGGAGCGGCAGCGTCGGGAATTGGCATGGCGAGGTTCTTGAGAAGCAGGGGCTCTGTCCCTGCCCTGGCCAGGAGAGTTGGGCAGGGACTGGAGGCGCATACCCTGCGTTGCCTGGCCGGAAACATCTCTCATCACCACGTCCTGGTCATTGCTGACCTGGGACAAATGCCAGTGGGAGCGGTGGCATAGAGGGTTGGGATAAACATGATGACGGATTTTTTGAGAAGCAGGGGCTCTGTCCCTGCCCTGGCCAGAAGAGTTGGGCAGGGACTGGAGTCGGGTACCCCGCGTTGTCTGGCCGTTTTGCTTGTGCTGCCTGTGTGATTTTTGTGGAGTGCGACCAGGTTTTTTGTGGACAGAGCAGCGGCGGTCGTCTTCTGAAGAGGTAGCAAATCTCTTCGTGTCCCTTGTCTTCATGATTCTCAGCATGGTTCGGGACACAGATAGAACGTTTTCGTGTTCTATGAGGATCGGGGTAAAACGGATTTGAAGTTCAGGTTTAAAAAGCAACGCGAGTACTTGAAAGCAGATTTTGAAAGCAAGAACAGTTTTTTGAGACTCCTTTTTTGTTTTTGGGTAGTCTGGAGAGAGAAGGAGAAGAGAAGAAAGATCGAGGAGAACCGCGAGGAGAAGAGCTGGTTTTGCTCAGCCGCGCTAAGATTTCGATGTTATGATGCTCTCAAGGTGATGCTGCTACTGAAGTGAAGTTTCTGATAAGCTTGCCTCAGAAATGACAGCCAGATGCAACCCTGTAGCCACAGTACCCTTGCAGAAAGCTTAGCACAGAGTCTGGCACAGTCTGGGGGGTGACCCAAGATCACCCCAGCTGCGGCTTGGGATTCTGGTCGAGCCAATCCGCGAGTCAGCCCTGCAGAGATATCGCAATTAAGCTTCCAGGTACGATCAGATTGCGTGCTGGGAGCCTCGTCAGAACTTCCGGTCCAATAACGGAAGCACTATCTGGCAGCAGGGCTACCATCTTGTTAAGTCTGGCTAGACACTTGTGCCCAACTGCAATTCGAAAGAGCGACCGTGCGATTGGGGGAAGCGCTTTCCGATATCTTCATCGGTCATGGGATTGGATTGCTTTGATCCTTTTTCTGGGTTGCTTCGTAGGACCGCCAGGAGATGGTGCACTTCCGGTTGAGGTCATACTGTCTCGTTTGCGCTTCTCTGCTTTAGCATTGCTGCGCTTTTTGCGTTGCTCGTCTCGAATAGCCAGCCTTCGTTGTACCTCCTCAGAGATGTCCTCCGTGTCAATCGACACCGGAGTTATGCTCCTAACGTCATCCTCACCCCCAGGCAGCACCTTCATTAAGCGCTTACGCTTGTGATGACTGGCTGGGTCAGCAAAGGCCGACATAGTCTCTGCATCTGGTACTGCAGCAATAGTCTCCTCGTCTCGTTCGCTCGCTTCTGCGCGAGCTCGTTTCGCCCGATCTCTCGCCCGAGGGCCATTTCCAGACGAATCACTCGTCCGACGAGAAGATGACGGATCTGAGCCGGAGTTCGAGTGCAAGATTTTCTCAGCATCTAAATTTCCTATCACAAAGTTAGGTCCATCTTCAATGATCCTTGGCTTCGACTGGAAGAATTTTCCTGCAGAGGGAAACTTTCCGCAGCCTGGAGGAAGCAACGTGACTTACTGGAACCCTATGCCGGCGTGTTAGCACTATGTCAACAGCACCTATACCTGCGATGGGAAGAAGCAAACAAACAACTCACAAATTTGCCTTTGATGATCTTGAACTGCATCATCAACTTTTTCGTCCGCTCCAACATGTTGGTAACCAACCGCGACGCATCGCCATTGGACGGAACCTCGCCCTGGACCTGCTGCAGCAGCGCTAGGTGGGATACCAGCAGCGACTCGTGCTGGGCGCAAACCTAAGCAATCCATAAGGTCAGCTTTCAGATGTCAAATTCCAACAGCACCGTACAATGCGAGCGGGTAGGATGACCAGCTCGCGTGGTCATCTCTGGGAGAAAGCTTTTTACACACCTCAGCCCATGACAGTTGCTGTTGCGCGGCGTTGGCATTACCACTACCGCTACCTAGACTAGGCCTACTCTCGTCTTCTACCTCCTCTACAGTAGGATTCATGGGGGGTGGTGGGTGGCTCGATAATGGCTTTTGCGACAGGATCTGAACCAAGGAGTGAAGTTGGATTAAGGGCGCGGGGAGATCTTTTTGCTGACTGGGGATCGGCCCGAGAATGCTGCTCATCTCTTGGCATTTCCAGCCCGCTATTTTTAGACCTCCCTTTCCACCTGGTTAATCGAGATTGTCTGGGGAGGTTCCAGAGATTGCTTGCAATCTCCGTCATTGTCGATTTTTATCGCCGTTGGAGGCGATCCTTCCGTTGCAACATAGGCTGGGTCATGTCCTTTGCGTCTCTTTTCCGGCCTGGCATAACGGCTATGACCCGATCTAAGGTAATCGTGCTGTAAACCCGGACTACAATCCACCCATTCAGAATTTGAGATTAGACTTCAACGCTTCACCTTCATTCTGTTACTACACCGTTTCTCAAAAGATTATTTAAATAGTATCTCATTTAAATCTCCATAGAACTGCCCCAGCACTTTCTGATTTACTCTATCCAGCATTCCAATATCCGACCTGTATACTAGAATCCATAACTCTCGAGACAAGTAGCAATAGTGCTCCTCGTGTACTGCCAATAGCTCGAGCCGCTAAGGTAGTCCACTTCACTTTCATAAGGCCACGCTGCGTTCATAATCGCACATGGTCAACCACATCTCCTCGCCTTCCACTTTTGACACTCGACTTGGGTCAATCTAAATCTGGAGAGGTAGAGTTGAACGGTTACACATGCCTGGCCTCGGACCTGGATACACCTTTAGAGGCTTATTAGTCAAATTTCCAGGGCCTGCGAACGCCGATGCTCCGACAGATTTATTATCAGTGTATTCTAGCAGAGTCCAAAATCCATTTTACGCCGAGGATTCCAGATTCCAAGCGCATGTTTTTGCTTGAGCTCAAAACCTCCACTATGACTGACATGTGGAAGGATCGAGATCGTGGACATATTCATAAGATGAATAGATAGGGCCTGGACATGATTGCAAGGGAATATGCGCTGTCTGGGAGATATATGAAGTCCGTGCTCACTGAATTGCACAATTCAAATGATTAGACAAAGTGATCAATTTTCTAGAGATTTAAAGTCATTCTTTATGGAAGTCTAGTGTTCTATTTAGCTCGAAAGTATTCTTATAGCACGGCCAACATTTAGGAACATCCAAAAAACTTCTTAATCAGAGTCAAGTGTTGACGTGAGCTCTTTTGGGGCAAGCCTTGATCAAGCTGCATCACGTCACATTGATCGAGAATCATGTCCGGAAGACAATGCAGTGATATTGTATCAGGCCAAGGAAGCGATACAATGATTCAATGAGCAGGGTAACCTAGCCGGTCGAACCACCATGTCAAACAGGCATTATACCTCATCTCGGGACTCAGAGCGCTCGTTCGATTGCTTGCCATGCTCTAGACCGGATACTTGGTCACCCTCCCTCGCTTGCTGCGTGCGCTTCTCCCACTTGAAAACAAAATGTATAGTGACGAACAAGATGGCTGCTAATATCGAGAGCGCCAGATACAGCTTTGCACCAATGCGCCAGTGGGGTGCTTCCTCGGCGGGATAGGCGGCGATGGGGAGGAATGCGCTGAGGAGATATGAGAAAAGTGTGCCGGTGGCGAATAAAACTGTCCGGACTTGAGGTTCCGTCTCGAGATGCGCGGTTGCCCAAGCGCATAGGAGCATTGTGGAGACGCTGGATTATCCGGTCAGTAGTGAGCCTGGTTTCGCTTGTCAGGGAGGGAAAAGGGGTCGATTGCTGTTCCTCTCCGAATCAACTTACGCTCCGATGTAGTTCATATACCATCCAACCATGTAAGCAGACTCGTTGCTCGGGCGAATGACCAAGATTATAAGGGAGGTGATGTTGATTACCTATCTAGATATTAGTATCTCGCATGGTGATAAGAGGAGATCTCTCTCCCGGGGAGGTGCTCACGGCATGCAAAAGCAGAAAAGGAAGTCTTGTGCCGAAGAAATCGCTGAACCCACTGAAGAGGATCTCGGCAACGAGTTGAATCGCTTGACCAATAATGGGAAGATAATTGAGCATGGCAACTGAACTAATTTTCGCGAGTCAGCACATGAAAAATGAATGTGGTGATGAGGTTGGTTTACTATTTTTTTTGTTCCATCAGCGTTAGTCAAGGATTTGAGCCAAAGATTGAAATAGTTCGTTGGGGTCGTCCCCGTGCCAATGCACCATGCAACTGAGACTTGATTAGCTTCGTTGCTATGATAGTGGAATATCTTGAAGGACACACTGGAGAAAAGCCAAAGATGCCAGAATCTCAAGGCGCGAAGGAAAGTTTTGGGCGTGATCCCAACTTGTGGGCTTCGGCCGACACGACGCGTACGCGCAAGAGCAGTTTCTATGCAGGTGTCAGGATGTGGGTCCTTTAGGAATATGCCATGTAAGTTAGCTCACCGATGTGTCGGGGCTTGAGATAGATCTTGGAGAGCGGATTCTGTCTTTCCGGCTGTGGATTATGTTAGTGGTACATCAGCATCCCAGAGGTCAAGTTGCGTACGAATCCAGGCATTGCTACATAGGCAAGGAGGGCAACAGTGATCGTACAGATTCCCTGTTCAAAGAATAAATTTAGTCTCAGTAGCATATATGACACGATTATCCTTACATTGATTATGAACGCCCATTGCCAACCGCTTCTTCCAAGCGTGCCGTTCAGATTTGTGGACAGTGCACCTTGCAGTGCTCCAGAAAGCATAGCGCCGACTGGTTGGGCCATGTTGTAAAGACTCATGCGCAATGCCATCTCATGCGGAAGATACCACTGACTAAAAGCGATTACCTCAGTATTTGTGTAGGCGAATGAGTTAGAAAAAGCATACCTGATAATAGTAAAGTATCCCGGCCAGGTAGCCCCTTCGCAGAAGCCTATGAGAAAGCGAAGGCCATAGACCTTGTATTGTTAGACTCTCAACCAACTGTGGCAAATTCTTCTAGGGAAGGGGCTGTTACCTGCTTCGCAGACGTGGCAGTAGACAGACAGCACGTAAAAATACCCCAAAGAACCTAATTCTTTGAATTAATGCGCTGCACGTAAATTGCGCCCGAAGAATTATTACTGACCTCACATGTAGGCAACCAGATTGCTGGTCCTATATGAGATATAATAATACATGAGGGATAAAGCATGACCATGTAGCCAATGCTAAATACGATCAACATGGGTCAATCAGTGTAGGGAAAAAAACTCACTTAAAAAACGTGGTGAAGTAATTCAGCTCGTTTCCATAAAGCTTCAGATCTGTCTGCATCCCGGACACATATGCATTGCTCTAGTGAATCCTTCTTAGCTTCGACGTTACAGTCAGCGAAAGGCATGGTCAACTTACAATGTTGGTCTGGTCGAGATACTTGAACGCATATCCCAAAAACCCAACAACAAGGAATACCGCATCCAGACGCCATACCTAATATTCCATGAGTTTCAAGATTCATAATTGATTAAATGACGATAGAGATATTACCAGCGCCTTCTCAGCATCTGAGTCAACTAGACAAATGTCATTCTGCTCGAGCTCTGTGACTTGATCCAGAAACTCCTTGCTATGCCTCTGACGACGAGCCATTCCCATTTATCTGACGAGAATCGACTGCGAGAGAAGAACCAGCAAAGACTCTTGAGGAATGGTGAATTGCATGACTCCCTTGATTGTACCTAGGCTTTATATTATAATTCAAAGGGAATCGCCGCAACTACCGAAGAAGATCGGCCGTTATCACGATGAGATAGTGCGAATGGCATCAGCACGGGAAGCGAAGACGTGCTCTAGACCATACCCCACTTGCAGGATCAAGCTTAAAGAGGGGATCAGTGCGTTTCGGTCCGATCAAATTGCCTCGTGAGGGATGGGCATGCCGTTATCGGGGTCAGCAAGATAACTACGTAGCAGCCTTAATGTCAGGGTAGCTGTTAATCGTTTTGTTCGGGATCCCTTTCAAGACCCGTCAGTCAGTGGAAATGATCACCACTATACGGGGGAAAAGGCGTTATACACCCTAGCATGCAAGACTTGGAGTCAATGATACCATATCAGTTGATATAGAGATTTTTAGGCTATACTAGAGCCTTGGCTCGAGAAGAGAAGACTGCATAGCATTCTTGTAGTCTAATGATGGCGGGATGTGGTATATGAAAGAATCGAGTCTTACAAGTCATACCGATGGAGGAAGGAACAAATCAAGAAATTTAAGCTAGTGTGCTCAAGCTGGTTACTCTTAGAGAACGCTGAAACGAATGTAGTAGCTTTTGAAGCCTGCTGGAATAGACGGTGCTGAGCAGAAATGGGAAATCGAATTCATCCCATTTGTGTACTGTACGGGACAGAAAAGAGGGGAAGTGACAGCAACCGCGGGAAGGTTATATCGCACTGTTGCCGCGCTTCCTCAACAAACCTTCAACACTCACACAACCACCTACCTAGGTGGTCAAATTCCTGTGAAACCCCCTCTCAAACCTTGACTCCATCGCCTATCTCTGCATTGGCCTGCTCTGCATACCAAGTACGAACAACCTCGTTCAGATAGGCGCTCAATTCTTGCTTCTTCCCAGGTGATGCGAATGAGTCTACCAAGGTGCTGACAACAAAATCCTGACTCCAGACTGGGATCTCACCGTGGGAAAGTCCCCCCGGGTGCTTTTCGGTCATATGCCTTCTCGTCGGCTCAGGTGTAGGCATCCATTTCCCACGGCTCAGCGACTCGGTAACCTGTAGCGCCGCCTGGACCACCTGATCAAAAGCATGATCTTTACTGTCGTCCGAATTTTGGAGCAAGTCGATGCTCTTGTAGTGAGTCTCAGTCAACTCACACAGATCTCCTGTCTCACTAATAACGGTGATCTGATAGCGGATGGATGGTTTTCTGGAGGCCCTGCCGTTCGACGACCGCCGGCATATGGGCTTCAGATTGAGAAGATATCCAGACTTCGAAGAAAAATGGCTGGCAGCAATCTTGCGAGCACGGTCACTGCTCCTCAGCGAGAGTCCCACGTCGATGAATTGATGCTTGAGTGTGTTCAGGAATGTTTTATCATCTACTGAAGAGATATCCTGCACGAACAGTCCATACGTGGACTTCATCTGCTCAATAGTCATGGACCTGCTGTCTTTGAGATTTTGGGCCTGCATGAGCGGTTGAACATGATCTCGTAAGAGCTCAACGTCAAAGAAATGCGATTCTCGCCGGGCGAGCGACGGTGCCTTAGGGTTCCTTGGGCCTTGTTCATCCGGACAAATGAAAATGAAAGGCATGTGCCCTTGAGACAAAAGCTTCGAAATGAGCTCAGCAGCTACTATGTGGGATAGAAAATCAGACCCCAGGAGAATGGCGACATGGAGAGATTTTGCCCGAGGATCTTGGGTCAACGCGTCTGCGACTCGCGCAGCATGCGCGGCAACACGATCAATGGCGCTCACATAGAAGTGTGTGCCACGCGTTAGCGTTCCCATAACGTACAGTCCGGGTGCTGCTTCAAAAGTGTCAAAATCGACATCCACTCCGCCTGTTGGATGAGGCTTGAAGAGGCCTTTAGTCACAAGCGACCGAATCAACGGAGATGAAATCCGGTCGAGATGGCATTCCTGACCTGTAGCCTCAACTACATATGATGTTTCAATCAGTCCCGATGAGGTGTTCGCTAAGAAAATTTTCTTTTCAGCATCCCAATCGACTCGTTCACCAACGACGACGTTCAACTGGGATTTTTCCATTAGGTCCAAGATCTTTTGGGCGTTTTGTATGGGCATCCCGTGGCGATATCTCATCCAAGGACTAAAGAACTTGTCCAAGAATAGTTTTTGGCTTTCGACTGGTAAACAGCTCCAATATCGCTCGATAACAGGTGCCGTGTGGCGAAGAACAGTCTGCCAGTGAACATTTCCATCCCGTGCGGCCTTGATATCAGCTTGCAGTTCTTCGAGCGGGGAGGCATGTTTCTGAAACCAGCTCCAATCGCCATTGTTGATATAATCGATCTCGTCCATCAAGCATGTCATGAGCTTGATCAGAGCGTCACTTGGATTTGCTTCAACCTCTCGTGCAAGTATGTGAAGAGAATATCGGCGGGGAAAAGGCTCCGGTTCCCCTTGAACTGTAGGCACTCGTCCACTGCGCGACATGAATGTGATAGGACCTTGGTGTCCATTCTGCGCAAGGGCTATAGCGGTGTCCACAGCTGACAGTCGGGACCCAATGACCAAAACGGGAGCATCGGCAGGGATATTCTTCAAGCTTTCCGTGGGCCATGGACTGGCGAGGAATTGTGGTTGATTCACGAGATGCCTATACGTGGTAGAGGTGAAATTTCCCGGTGCCATCACGACCTGACCTGCAAGACATTGCCCACCGCTGCTCAAAGTCAAGAGAAATGACTGATCGTTCTGGCGCTCAATGTCGGTGACTTCATCGTGAACGAAAGAAACACTCATTCCTTGTTGCTGGGCCGCATTGAGTGCTTGATGTGACATCTCTTCGAGGTATTCTCCATAGATATCTCGGGATGGAAATGGCCCACTCTTAAGCTCGCTTCTCCAACGTGAGAAGTGCTTGGGGTCATTGAAGTATAACCCCATTGTGTCGGTGTGCATGTTGATGATGGTGCCCGAGCACAGAGAAGAATATGCTAGCCCAGGGCCAAATTGTGTATCCTTCTCAATAACAGTGATAGGCGGCAAGCTTGCACCATTTTTGGCTTTCTCAATCAAGTGCAGCAGAACTGAAATGCCACTTGCACCAGCTCCGACTATGACGATATCACCCATATTGGGATCACAACGAGATGACTGTGAGCTACCCATGGTCAATTTGGTACCAGAAAGTGGAGGTTTGTTGATGCGTGGGCACTATGAAGTGGTTCTAAACATGAACAGAGGAAGAGTATTTATGCTACTCTGATGCATACAGACTCTGTCGGGAAAACCTGATAACCCTTTGCATGAGGTTCCCAGAATAGAACCACAGATATTCATAACCATACTCTGGCCACCAGTTATAGATCGCCAAGACCCCGCTTTCAACATGACCGTATTTTCTCCATATGCATTTTCCGAGCAATGAGCGCGGTTCTTGCACTGTGAGCCATTCGGAGTTTCAAGGATGCCTCGTTCATTCTCACTGTCGGCATCGGTTGCCAAGAAGATCTTCGTGACCAACCAGATTATGCTGCAATTTCCGACGAGAGGATCACGCTTGCTCAGGTGAGAAAAATGCCACATACATGCATTATTGCATGATGGACGATTTGAATTACTCTTGACTTCGTGTGGCACATTGAAGAGCGAGACTATCATGGTAGCAAGCATTAGCGCCATCTGATAGAGCACGCAAGTCAGAGATATGAGCAATGGTAATTACGTTAATCAATTGTCTCATCTTAGTCCGGTGGTTGTTTCTTCACATCTAGACTAGGCTAACCAGGCCAGGAACATGATCCTTGCCTTCGCAACTGGAAACGTGGTCATGAGTAAAGCATCATTTGCCACGGACACAATAGTGGTCCGTGACAAACTACTCGAGTTTTTATGTATGAGAACGAATCGATTTCATGATTGGCTCAGCATACATGCAGCAACGATCCAGTAAAATTCCGCCATGCAGCCCGAAGAGTCTTGATTGAATCAGCCCTTAGAAAATTCTCCGCTCCAAGTCTTGTCCCATCTCTCGCGAGTCAAGTTCGGTTCCTCGTGGTACGTATAACCGCAGTTACTGCTTCGATGAACTATGAGAACCTGACGTGTCTGATAGTTCCTGGTCCGGGTTTCATCAAGGCATGTACAAAAGCATGACCCCATTGACTGCCAATCTCTAGAGCACAATTGAAATGTTACACGGGTATACTAACCGACATTCATCCTCAACGCTCAGATCCTCAGAACTGATTGATCACCCTCTTGGGTGAACAATTACCCGACTTAGCTGACCAGATAGCATCATTTCAGCTATAAAGACGATCGTCGGCGCCACAGGGATCTAGCACTTCGTATAGCATCCTCTGGTAGCAGAGCTCTGCAAACCTCCAGAGTAAGCGCTAAAGACTAGCCCTCACCGTGATTTCAATCGACACTCAAGGCAGCAATATGCGACCCGAGACGACAGAATCGATGCCATCGGCATACCATTTCCTTGGCGGATTGTGGCATCTGCGGTCTTCGATATCATGATTGGTCCCTGATCCTTCTGCCCTATTGACCCTATTTTTGGCCTAAGGTTTCCTATAAGGCTTGAAGGGTCTTTGCTCGGCTAAAATAGACAGGAAACCAGAATTCAGAGGATCGACCGTCGGCTGATGCGCATTGTTTCCCCGGACTCTCCCCCGTTTTCAACTTACTCTAATTCCGCGCTGAGCCGGAATAATCGGAGTCGGAGGTGACATGGTTACCATGCATGCCGCCAGGAGCTACAGAACGCCTTATAGCGGGCAGCGGGGAACGGCTTGGCATGCAGGCATCTTCCCCCTCCCCCTGGATATTTTTAGCATTAAATATTTTGAAGATCGCTAAACTTCGAATCTCGGCCCAGGACTTCTACCGGTCACATGTGCGGAGTAGATAAAATTGAATTATAACAGGTCAGTGTGCATATTCTATGCATATCTATTGATGTGGGATTTGGTCTAATACTTGACACCAAAACATTTGTTTCGATTTTCCACAACGTGCTTTGACGCAACCCCACGTTTTCCCACCGGCAAATCCTATTCCGAGCCTACTCTACCTCTTACCTTACCTGCTCCCCTTTTCCCGAGAGCAAGGCAATGATCTCAGATCTTGACCTTGACGCGCCATTCGGTCTTCGAGATCCTCGCCCCCAACAGCACCATCGCACCCAGTAAAATAACTACTCCCGCCCACACCTGGGCTCCGATGTAACCATGGGCCTTGGCAACGAGAGCGCCACCCAACGGAGGTCCGGTCAAACATGCAAAGCTCATGATCGTGAAACCCATGCCGATTCGTGTGCCAGCCTTGCTGAGATCCGTGATTAGGCTAGAGAGTGTGGGTGGCCAGAGGCCCTGGACCGCATTGGCGCAGAACCCGTAAAGCACGGCGAACGTGTAGAGCCCCGCTGTGGAGTGCACGGCCGCCCAGCAGAACATCAGCACGCTCGAGGCCACCGAGAGAGGAATGACGGTGTTCAGCGGGCCCAAGTGGAAAGAAGCAAAGTACGCGGGGATCAGACGTCCGAGACTGGCGGCCGCGTTGAGCACGATGATCAAGTTCGTTGAGTCGGAGTATGTGAGTCCGATCACGCTCCGGCCAAAGGCACCCACATAGTAGACTGCAAAGTACATGCCCCAAAAGTTGAGCCAGATGGCCAAAATGAAAAACGTATAGATTGGCTCGTCGCGGAAGGCGGACAGCTCCACGAGGGGGCCCGACTTACGCGGGGGTAGGCGAGTGCGAAAGAGCGCAACGGCAGGGATAGTGGTGGCAAGCATGACGAACCCCACAACGCGCAGCGTCCAGCCAAATCCAAGCACGGGGAGCAGGCCCTTGACCAGCCCGGGAAAGACCATGCCCCCCGTCCCGCTGCCGACCAGACAGCAAGCCACCGCAAATACGCGGCGTTTGTCGAAATAGGTGGCCACTAGACCCATTGCTGGGCAGAACTGGAGGCCGCTGCCTAACCCCGTGCAGAGTCCCTGTGCGAGAAAGAGCTGCCAGTATTGGGTGGAGAGGGAGGTCATGAAGACGCCCAGAATCTGCAGGAATGCACCGGCGCAGAAGACGTGACGGAAATAGCCTGCGTCTAGCGCTCGTCCGGAAAAGGTGCCCACAAAGAAGATGAGAAACATCTGGATGGACCCGACCCAGGAGATTGCAGACTCGGATACCCCGAGGTGGGTTTGATAGTAAGACTGGAAGACCCCGTAGCTGGCGAGGTAGCCCCAGGTGTTGAAGCAGACGAGGTGGCCCATGGCAGATTGAGTCCATGCCATGGCTCCGCCATCCGGGGGCGGCTTCACCACGGACTCTGTAGTAGAGGTTGAGATATCATCTTCGATGGTTTTGGTCATGGTTGCCGCTGGCGTAGGAAATTAGGAATCTAGATGCTTGAACAAAGGTGATAAAAATCGCTCGACCCTGACTCTAGAGCTTCCGGGCGCTATTTCTACTCTTTTGTAGCGAAACAATGGCATGTCTTTTGATAACCAAAAATCCAATCCTAGAAGCCGACGTGCAGTAGTCATGGGTCGATAGCGGTATCGGCCGAGTACTTGGCTACCGATTGCCTAGACACTAATCGTAGTCAAGTTCGATAATGAGTCACGGGCCATCATCGACTATCCTTTCGAGCAAGTTCGCTTGTTCGTCCTGTGTAAACTTGGTATTCCCCGATTTCTCCGCACAAATGTCAGTCACGACAGCCAAGCATGCAGCTGACGAAGACGCAATGCGGCCGCGGGAACACCTCTTCGACCCTGTTGCGACTACCTTGGCATGCATGGATCGCGGAACTCCGTCTTATTTGCATGCAAGCGTAAGCTTTCTAAGGCCGAGAAAATTGCCATTGCAGAAAAATGTCGCTATTGTTGGCTCACCCCCTTTTAGCCTCTTATCGGAGCGGGCGTTGAAACGTAACAGGCTTCAGCAATAATATGTCGACAATCGACAGGGTGTGTGATGGCCAAGGGTTCAGAGGTTTGGAAAAAAGGGGTTTTCTCGGATTGGGTCTGATGCAAAAATGCTGGCTGTGGATCCGTCGGTGTTGAGGGGATTTGACAGTGAATTGCGAAGTTCTCTCTGTTTTCACGAGATGTTAGCTTGTGGACACTTGCCATTCCTGATTCCATTCCTCTTGGATGGGCGATGCAGTATCATATTCTTGTAGGATGGTGGCTAGACCAGACTCTAGGCAACCGTAGTCTCATCCATGAGAGAGTTTAATTGGTAAGTGACTGGGGTCCTTTGAAGACGATATTGTAGAGTGAGTATGGTAGAGGCAAGGGAAATGTCCACGTGATGGTCTGTTAAAACTAGAGACTATGCCTTCTCTTCTAGGTAGTTTCACTTTTCTGGGATGAATGTTCTACCTGCCTTTCCACAACGCTTCTTAGTCCACCAGATAACTTGACAGACAGCCTCTATTCAACTGTTCTCTTAGTCTGTCAATCGTCTTTATGACTTTTCTTAGCCTGACTTACACTACTTTCCTCCTTTTATGCCACTTGGCATGCATCAAAATGGAAGGTACAAGTTCTTTCACAGGACCTCTAGTAGGTTCAACCCATTCGAACCGGGCAGGATTCGCCAACCTGCGACCAGCTGCAAGCCCACGACGGGTTTGATTCATGAAGGGATATATTCTTGAAAGCAAGAGGCCAAGTTGTCCCTAAACCTCAGATGTTCAAGGGCTTGCGACTTTGCTGGTATCGTGACTTGAGGACCACACCCCAGATTGCCGTATACTATAGCTAATGATGATTTTAAATAGTTAGATAGCCGCGCTTTCACGACCTATTCGCCGTTGCTCGATGCTCTCTTTCGATAGTGGCAATAATTCGAAGCATTGTTGGCTCTGAGTTGGACATTCCGTGACACACTTTGGCTGGCCCGATAAGATATCTTGTGTCTAATTGCTTGTGGAGGTTACTTAGGTTGCCCAGTTATCTCAAGTCCATTGTCACACAGAATCCAACTTATTACGTTTTTTCAAGGCATCTCGACGACTCCAAGAATGACCCCCACGCCTTCAAGGAGATGAGTCAACAACCATACGACTTTGGAGCAATCATGGCTCAACCTTAACACGAGAGCGTACGGAAACAAGCATCCACAGTGGAGAATTGTACCCGCAACTCCCGTCGCGTGGTTCATCGGAGTGAGTTCGCCGACAAGCGTCCGATGGGGCCCTATATCCGAAGCCAAGAAACCCCCTCTTCTCTATATATACCGGCCAGTCCACGTTACAAGCTGAAAGGTGAACAAACTCCCCATCAGCCTTCACAATGCCTCGCAAAATCACAGTTGCCGTCGCGCAAGCGAGCACTCAGTCATCCCTCTCCACTACCTTGGATGCTTTGCACCGGGTGACTCGCCACGCAGCGGCTCGTGGCGTTCACTTGATTCTATTTCCGGAAGCCTACTTGGGTGGCTATCCGAGGACATGCGATTTCGGAACAGCGGTCGGCTTCCGACAACCTCACGGTCGCGATCAGTTCCTAGAGTATTTCAACTCCGCTGTTGATCTCGGCGACACCCCAGCCGGTGCTGGTGACGACTGGGTCGATCGAAAACTCCCTCTCCCGCGGGGTAAGGATTACCGCGGTGATGGCACTCGTGAGACCCTTGAAAGGATTTCCCGGGAGACGGGCGTCTTCATTGCATGCGGTGTGATTGAGAGGGCGGGAGGCAGCCTTTACTGCTCCGCTGTATACGTCGATCCCCGCGATGGTATGCTTGGAAAGAGAAGAAAGGTCATGCCGGTGAGTGTAAATTTGAATCTCCCAATTTGCTTTAGTGTGTCGATACTAATCTTCTTTAGACTGCTTCCGAGCGTCTTATCTGGGCACAGGGCTCGCCATCCACCCTCAAGGCCATCACCACTGAGCTCAATGGGGTCAAGCTGACGATCGGTGCCGCTATTTGCTGGGAAAGCTTCATGCCTATGCTCCGCCAGAGCCTCTACGCCCAAGGTGTCAACATTTATCTGGCACCCACGGCAGATAGCCGCGACACCTGGCTTCCTCTGGTTCGGACCATTGCTGGCGAAGGCCGCACATTTGTTCTCACCGCCAACCAATGCGTGCGGCGCCGTGAGCTTCCTGGCTGGATTACGGGAGCTTCTTCTAGAGAAGCAGCTGAGAACGGCGACGAATACATCTCGCGGGGTGGCTCTTGTATCATTGGCCCTCTCGGTGAGGTGCTCCGCGAGCCGATCTGGGAAGTCTGCACTGATGATGCGGCAAACCCGGATGACTTGAATGACCCAGCTCTCGAAGCCGCTGTGTCTATCTCGGAGATCGATTTGGATGACTGCGAGAGAGGAAAGCTGGATCTTGATGTTACCGGGCACTACTCACGAAACGATGCCTTCAAGTTGTCCGTTGAGGGTCTGGACCTTAACCCTCCTCCTCTGTGATCGATTCTTTTATTCATTAAGACCAATGGGAAGGACACAACGGAAGTAATTAGAGACACTGTACATACAAAAATGATATCCATATTATACATTGCATTCTTAGGTTCCTGATCACTTCTCGGCCTGGCCGCTACCCCACAACCCCGCAATTAACTGGCCTAGTGCCTCAGAAACAAGGCAGGTATATCGTGCCACACGACTGAGTCAGCATCTTCCGCAAGGGGAATAGCTCGTTTCAAGATTCCAGGATCACGACTGCCGATGAGAAGGCCGAATAACATCCAAGGAGAGATACCAAGTCAAGATTTATCAATTGGAAGCAGCTTGCAATTAGACAATGAATCCAACTAATGGATGTGTCAGATAGTGCTGATGACCACCCCGGAGAGGGTAGGAGAAATATTGCAAAGCCAAGACCGGCACTCCTAGCATGCAGGCGCTGTCGTGCTCGCAAGCAGAAAGTATGCATACACCTAGCGATTTATACTTGGACTATTAACGTTATGAATAGTGCAGCCAGTCACGACCATGCAGTAACTGCGTTCAGGCACATGCCGGTAAGTAAAAGAAAAACCGACGTCTTTTTTCCCTCTAACCGATGAGCGATTTGTATAGCTTGTGTAGCAAGCCAAAAACCGCCAAGGGAAAGTCGAGTCAATCCAGAGTAAGCAAATCGTGTGGTATTTTATAAGATGAAGCTTTGGCTAAATGTTGCAGGTATGCACGGGCTCTTGAGGAGCGCATACTCGAGCTCGAAGCCGAGCGAGAATCCACCGGACGAAATACCCGCGCCACCGTGGAAGCATATGAGATGTCCTCGTCTGCGAATGTTGCAGGAACAGCTTCAAGGGTTCATAGACTTCAGCCTCAATCGCAGCGCGATATGCCTGCTGAAAACTCACCCATTGCAGTCAATTCTCTACATGCTGAAAGCATCCGCGCTCAGAGCACCCCGTCACTCACCATCCTCACGCCACCCACACAGCCTTCTCCTACCGGCCTGTCAGTGGGGGCAGTCGAGTACGATGAGACAGGTATCTCAACAGCTACCCAGGATAAGCTCATTCGGATCTTTCTCGAACGCGTCAATCCTCGATACCCGTTCCTCCATGAAGAAACGTTCATCAGCTGGTACAGGGCATGGCAATCTGTGAAACGTTCGAGCCAGCCACTACCGGCTGAAGAGAAGTGGAAGGAATTCTTTGTGAAGATGGTTAGTTGTACGAACTCGTTTGATTTTGTGTACTGAACGTGTCCGGTAGGCTTTTGCGGTAAGCCTGCTGATTGCTCCGCAAGTGTCCCCGGAGGACATGAAGACCTCGCAGGTATGTCGGTCCTTTGCTACTGTGGCATAAAACTGAACATTGAGATAGGCTTTATACTCCTTGGCTATGCCATTGCTCGGGACTGTTTTTTCATGTCTCGACCCAGTCATACATGTGCAGGCCTACCTGCTTTGCACATTGCATGCTCTCCATTCGCCATCGTCACAAACGGTTCTCACAATGATCTCCGCTGCTATGCGTTGTTGCGTGATCGCACAACTGCACCTGAACCTGCCGACGAGCAGTACCCGGGATGAATCAGCTTTGCTTGATTTACAGATACGACGTCGCGTATTCTGGTCCGCCTATGCCATCGATCGTCTACTTAGCTGGATCTACCATGTTCCCTCCAGCCTCGCTGACGAGAATATCCAAGTCGAGGTACGCGTGTTGCTTCTTCGATTCTGGTCATACGAAACTGACCGTAGAGATAGCCTTTTGCGAACCTAAATGACGACGAAATAAAAGCATGGGCCTCAAGGAGCGAACGGCCGGACGAGACCGAATCAACGCCTCGTATAACGCAGGTTTCATCCGCGTTGCATCTGATTCAAGGCAGAAGGATCCAATCGCGAATTCTCGGCATCATGATGCGCACAGACTACGAACACCGCTTTGCAGCACATCACAACTGGCGCTTGCATATGCTGGAAGCGCTTGATCAGTGGAAAATGCAATTGCAACCTCATAGTGACCCAGCCTCTGAAGGATATACGAGCGAAGGTTGGGTGGGTATGCTGTATAATTATACTATTCTTATATTATATCGACCGACCAAAGAGAATCTCTGCCGATTTGTCCGCGAGCGCTGTATCACAGCATGCTCCAACATTCTGCATACATTCTGGATATACCTGAAGAGACGCCAGACGGCGCAGCTTTGGCCTGGAGTAAGTGAATACGGTCAACTCAACGCAACATTTAAAACCTGACAGTCCGCGTCGCAGCTTTTGAGTCAATTTGGCACAGGCATAATCTTGCTATACTGCCTCTGGGCAACACCACCCTCGGAAAGACCGACGTCAATCCGATTTTCAGAAATTACCAAGGCCATTAGAACATGCACGGTCATTCTTGCGGTTCTATCCGAGCGCTGGACACAAGCTGAAATACTGCGAGACGTCTTTGACCTTCTCGCAGATTCGGTTCCGGTGCAAGACACCCCTGACTGCGTGGAAGAGAATGGACTATCGACACAGGCAAGGCAAATCATCAAGTCCCGCTTGCCTATGCTACATGTCATAATTGTAAATAAGGACATACTACGGATGTTGATGGAGATGGTTACTGAAAACTACCCTTGGACAGGTCACAGAGATGTACCGAATGTCTACCGCTGGTGCTCTGAAGACAAGCATGATGCAAACGGGTGTACATTGTGCTGGGAGGGTAGACCTATGGTAGGAGAGCTAGAGAGCCTTCCTCAGGAGGATTTGCTCTCAATGGGTCTGTGGCCATCGCTATATGATGACACAGGGGGATTGTACACTTCGCCTTCAGGGGGTTATCCATCTTTCCCAGGGCTGTTGGGATCTATGTAGCTTGTGTGTGGGAAGGCATGACCTACGTACTAAGAAGATAGACCAACCAGAAAGGAACTAAAGACCTGGATTTGGGGCTGAGATTCATGGCCTCATATGCCCGTCTACTTTTTGTTCTTACAACGACTCCTCTTTTCTGTGTGAAAGAAATAATCTTTTACACAAGGCAACATCAATTGCAGTTGATAGTTTAACACGCTTGTTGCAGCCTATATGAGACCAGAGCATTGCCTACTTGTGTCAAGGGAGGCCTTTGCAACTAGTGTTACTTTTCTTCTCAGGGCGTAACATCGATTGCAAGTGAGGTCACTATTCAGTCAAAACCCTCCAAACAAATTCTCTTCTGTACATCGATTAACAACTTCTTCATCCTCCACGAGCACCAGCAGAATCCTGAGAGCCTCCTCCAACTCACACCTCCCACCTCTATCCGTTATCCCACCCCACATCCTTGTCCATCCTTGAAGATGGCCTTCATCGGCACCGCCGCTGAAATCCGCGACGAGCTCCTCAAGGACGACGAGCCCAAACGCGTGATCATCCGCGTCAACACCAAACGCCTGGAATCCCACGACTACCGCGGCTCCGCCTGCGCCCTCGTGGCCGAGATCTTCCCGGACTGGGCGACCAACGAGCGCATCCGGTTCCTGCACATCGAGATCCGCATCGGGCGCGCCTTCCTGGCCATCGACCTCAACAACGGCGCCTACCGCCCCGTGGAGCTGGACCTGGAGCCGATCCCCGTCTACATCCTCTCGATCTTCCGCCGCGGCTGGGCGCTGGTGCGCTGGCGCCAGCTGGACCAGCACATCGCCGACCATCTGGCGCGCATCTGCATGCTCAACTACGACAACCCTGTGCGCCCCTATCTGGCGAACTATGATCTGCGGGCGTTGTGTCGGAGGCGCTCGGTGTTCTCTTAGGTTTTTGAACGGGATAGTAGATGGGAGAGTGTGCGTGCAGTGCACAGTGCACAGTGAAGCTGGAATACGCAACTGATGATGATTACTATGCTGCGCTGTGCTGTGCTTCTCTGCATCTACATCTTGGTGTCGCGATTGATGCAGCCGTCTACATCCACATCCACATTTCTGGGAATTTGAACATCAACAGTAAGTAAGTTCTTTCTCTCTACTTCTACAATGATTTTCTGTGTTTTCTCAGCTAATCAATGTACAAAGAAATGGTTCTAGAATTAGCGCTCTGGGTTTACACACAAACACCGTTCAGACTTGCGGGTTTGACTCTGGTTTCGCAGGGAATATTTTGCTGTGGATATTAGACGCATTTTTCGATTAAGCACAAACATAAGGATCATCTAGCAGATGGATATGCGTTCCCGGGGGTCTAATATTCTCCATAATCAGGCTTACACTTGGAAACTTTCCTCGGGATTTTGTGGTAAACTTGCTTGCTAGATAACTTTGAATTTACTGCGGTTTTATGTAGCCTCTACATTACTTTTTGTCATGGTGATGTTTTGTGAACTTGTTATTATTCGCTTTGGGCGCCGGAATGCTCTATTCCGCTGTATGTACAGAATTTGTTGATGTGGAGCGGGGACAGGTGTAGAGATGGTAGATTCACTGAGGTTCATATAGAGCAGAGAAGAAGACTTCCAATTAACAATTTATCTTTCTCACTGGCCTTGACATGATTTTCACCGATATTCTTGTTGGTAAGTGATAGGATCAGACACTCAACGATTGTAAAAACTCACTTTATGAAGGAAAAAGTAAGGATATATATTTACTTACTGTGCAAGATATAGGCCCATCTGTCTGTTGTTATAAGACTGATATAGTGGCCAGAGCTGCCTAGATACTTCTAGATTGGAGCCCTGCGTAAGTTGATTCTTCACTGGAGTGTGCTCTAGCAAGTCAAGGTTTCAGATTCGTCTAATGACTCGATTTTGTAGAAAAGTTGGCAACTTTACTGCTGTGCTACAGAGATCCACTTGCCTTCTGGGCGCGCCTTAACAACAGGCCCGCGGCGCGCCTTATCGATAACGAAGATAAGTTCGGGAACCACAGACGAACTAACCCGATCCGGCAGTGTAGGCGATTCAACCAATCACCTCTTCCAACAGCACCCCAACCATCCGAAGCATGACTGCCCACGGAGCCTGGACATCGACTGTAAAAAACTTATATAAAGCAACATCTCCACACATCTCAGAATTCCAATCATCAACTAATCCGCAACTCACTCTTACCTGATCGAACAATATCTCCAAGCCCAGCTACCATGGTGAAACTCGCAGAATTCAGCGTCGAACGGGTATGACTTCTTTAGCCCTCGGACCGTCGGATGCCATACTAACGATCGCAATACATGGCCAACAGTGGATGGACCTCTACGAAAACGATGCCCAGCACAACCTCGCAGAGACATGCTGCGCCTCCATCTCGTTGAACGACATCCTCCAATTTTCCGGTGCATCGTCGTCGGACGTCCCACCACTCATCGATCTCTCCCGCAAGCAGACGTACGGCGCCATCCGTGGATCTGCCGGGCTGCGAGCCAATATTGCGAAGCTCTATCAGGGATCCAGCGTCGCCTTGCAAGGGAACGAGCAGCAGCAGCAGCAGCAGAGCGCATCTCCCGCAGGCATCACCGCGGAGCAGGTGCTTGTAACCACCGGCGCCATCCATGCCAATTTTCTGGCCCTGTACACACAGGTCGGGCCGGGTGACCATGTTATCTGCCACTACCCGACGTACCAGCAGTTGTACTCGGTGCCTGAGTCGCTCGGGGCCGAGGTGAGCCTGTGGCGCTCGTCAGCCGAGAATGGGTGGGCTCTGGATTTGCAGGAGCTGCGGGGGTTGATCCGTCCCAACACGAAGGTTATTATCCTCAAGTGAGTTCTCCCCTCTCCATGTGACAGGGAAGGAAGGTGTGTTGTTAACGGTCTGACGAAGTAACCCCCAAAATCCGACGGGCGCGGTCCTTCACCGCGAATTCCTGCGCAGTGTCGTCGAGATCGCCCGGGAACATAACCTTATCGTCCATTGTGATGAGGTCTATCGCCCGCTATTCCACTCCCTGCCTCAGGGAGAGACCTCTCCGCCCTCGATCTTGGAATTCGACTATGAGAATCTTGTCTCCACGGGGTCGATGAGCAAGGCTTTTAGTCTGGCGGGTTTGCGGATCGGGTGGATTGCGTCCCGGAATCAAAATATCATCGAGGCATGCGCCTCGAGTCGTGATTATACCCTTATCTCTGTGAGTCAGGTTGATGACGAGATTGCGACGCGCGCGTTGAGTACTCCGTGTGTAGAAAATCTCTTGTCCAGGAACATGGAGCTTGCGAGAACGAACTTGGATATCCTTGAGACGTTTCTGAAGGAGTTCAGTTGGGCGGTACAATGGGTAAGGCCGCAGGCGGGCACGACGGCGTTTGTCAAGTTTGTGGATCGGCAGGGAAGGCCCGTTGACGAAGTGGTGCTTTGTGAGCGACTGATGGAGACAACAGGCGTTATGTTGGTGCCTGGGGGTAGATGCTTTGGCGAGAGTGTCGATTTTAAGGGCTATGTGCGCGTCGGCTATGTACCTGAACGGGAGGTGTTGGAGCGTGGGTTGTCGGCTTGGAGAGTGTTTATGCGGGAGGAATATGAGCAATTGCCAGTTGTTTGAGGTTCTGGCCTGGGAATTGGATGTGATATAGCAAGATCGTGTTCCGGATAGGACCGAGATAGATCATTGAATATAGACAGAAATGGGTTGAGATTTTACTAGGTGTCGATTTGATACGGGTCTTTTGGCTGAGCGTGATTGGTGTAGTTGTAGGTAAATGGCGAGATCGTACACATGCTGTATGTGATAGCAAGCATTGCTTGGATTGTATGTACGTGAGCAGGTGAAGGCCTTGCTGTGCAATGTAATACCTTTCGGTCATGAGGCACGAGGAAAGCGATATTCACTACCCAAAATATCAACATGCCTCTCGTTCCGGGCAAGTAGTCCACTTAGAACAGGACCAACTCCAGCCCAAGCTGTGCGAAAAACGCATCCCATTGCAAAGTCGTCCTCGATGCCCAGAAAAGGTTCAACAGCTCTCGAGCTCTCGTGAAATTCCCCATTCCGAGACTCTGCATGTTGGCCATCCTTCCCTGAATAATGCAGCGCTCGCTAGGCATATCTGTTTCACAACCAGCACTGAAGACAGGCCAGAGAATGAGGATATTCGCCGCCGAGAATGGGCGGATGTCTTGGACGGCACAAATGATACCTGCGACGTCGGCTCTGACTTGCGGGTGGCTGATCGGCAATTTTTGAACACGACGGTGTAGGTGCAGTAGAGCGGCGTGAACAAAGGCGCGATGGGTATGTTGTAACTCTAAAGCAAGTTCTCCTTTGCTTTTCATGGTTGTGTCGGAGACAGTACTATCAAGTAGTAGGGAGAGTTCGTTCTCGAGAAGCTGGCTTTGCTGCAGGGTCATCGCATCTTGTAGCATATCGTCTGACGTACTCGCAGTCATACGTTGTTGATGAATGAGGTGGAATAATTGAGTCAAACAAGGGACTAATTCCAGCGAATAACCGCAGACATCATCGATGTATCCGGAACTCTGACCAAGAAGCTCATTCAAAGGCTCCTTTGCGGCCTCGGAGGTAATTCCTATATGGCTCTGCCCCGACAGGCTCGCTATCAGATTCAGCGTCGTGAACCATTTGACTAGCGAGTGGATATACGAATCCTGTACCCAGCGAGATTTCTCCTGCGCCAAGAAAGCATGCAGCAGCTGCCTGACTCCGCCGAGATGTGTCCGCCAAACGTGCATGTTACCGTTACAGACGTCATTTGTGCACAATGCCATTGCTGTCGCGACTGTCTCAGTAGGTAAACTCTGGCTTGACTCGCTGATCGTCAACCGCAGGCTGGAGATGGCAAGGTTCGTGAATTTCAGACACGCTATCTTGGACGACGGGCTTGTATCCTGCACCAACCGGCTGTGATGACTGCAGGCTGCGGCTAGTAGCGCATACAAAAGATGAGGTGTCTGCATAGAAGCACTGATCATTCGCTGTAGAAACAGATCGGGCGCTGCAGGGAACAGCCTGGGTGCTGTCTCCGTGGCGAAGATGTGCATGAAGAATCTGGATTGCTCGGATGACAGGGCTGGCGAGAGATGAAG